GTAGGAGAGAGGAGTTGTAGTTGGTAGGTGAAGAGGATTTCGACCTTACGTTTTTCATATGTCTTCAATATTGCCAACTAGCTAGCTTGGTTGACTCCTCACAAAAACTACTAGCAAATTATAAATTAGTCCTTATATTTTTTAGAAATAAATTAATTAGTCCTTTTTGTTTGAAAAACTAATTATTTAGTTTTTTTTTACTAATATTGATCATATTTAATTAAATTTTTTTTTCATCAATCCTTCCATATTTCTTATTTTTTTTCTATTTCATAAGACAAAAAATAAAATAAATTGAAAAAAACAAAAAAGGATTAAATTAGAAGAAAATTTAAAAATATAGGAACTAAAGAATTAATTTTTAAAACAAAAAGAACTAATTAATTCATTTCAAAAAACTAGAGGGATTAATTTATAATTTACTCTAAAAAGCATTTTCACCTTTTTTTAAAGAAACAAATTGCCAAATGTTGTTGTTGCCTTCACTCAAGTGTTTGTAGGCCTTTCATTTGCAGCCACCTTTTCTTTTGTCAATTCCCCACTTGGAGACGAATGCTAATTTTTTTTATTAACTCGTTTAGAATGTTTAACTTTGCTTATAAAACTATTAGATTGATAGTGTAAACGATGCTAAATTCAACGTCTAGAGCTATATAATTCTCAGCAAGACAAATATTTCAAATAATTGTAAAAAGTTTAATTAATTTCAACACAAAATTTGTAGTAAGTATTTTATGATTTAATTGTTTAATATATCATTTTCTTAAGCAATGAATCAATGTGAAAGATTAAGAATTATTAAATATACCAAGAATTGTAATTGTTTTTCTTTTTCTTTTTTTGGTGTAAAAATAATGTCCATAAATGTTTATGAATACATTTCATTTTAACGTGAGAAAGAGAGAAATACAACTTCTAATCTACCTAATAATTTTTAGTCATCAATGTGAAAGGATGAACAAATATTCTAAACCTAACCATGTTCCAAGTCAATTGGTTATGCTGTTTCTACCATTTTCTCTAATAGCAACCCTGTCAGCAGATAACGTCCGGCAAAGGTCCTCAAGGTTTTACTTCCAAACTAATGTCCGATAATATTCTCACAAACCACAAAAATACTTCCAAACTAAAACAAAAGGGGGTCAGAGTGCTCAATCATTTTACTTTATTTTTCCGTTTGGACAAAAATTTATGTAAATTGTGTTTCTCTGATATATATATATATATAAACTTTTTATTCGTCATATTTCTTTGGATTAGTTATTCGAACGTTTCAAACCTCGATTGTTCCGAACCCGACTCCAATCTTACTGCTGAATCGAACCTAGTTTTGGTCCTCCACAAACATCCAACTCGATCCTAACCTGACCTTCGATTGCCCTAAACTCACCATGGCTCCATAATATGGTCAGACCACCCCATGTGGATATCGAATTTGATTTGGGCACGATCCACACCCATTGCCTGACATTTCGAACCGGACCAACTTGCAAAATAAGGCTTATATTAATTGTAAGAAACCAGTTCTGAAAATGATTTTTTTTTTTGCCCCCGAAAGTTTTGAGACTTGTTGCAATTTTTTATTTAATTGATAAAAAAAACAAAACAAATAAGTTTTCATTTCTTGTTTTCAGTTTTTTCAAAAATTTTAAGAAAACAAAAAATAAGTGATTGATTAATAAATAAATATTGCATGACCATGAAAAAAATAAATAAATATTGCATGATTATTAAAGTTAAAACTCTCTGTTTTCCTTTTTAATGAAAACAAATCTAAATGGAATTAACCCAAGAATTAAATATAATGTTTATATCTTTTGTGTATATTGACGTAAATAATACTTTCAAATAATAGGGAAAAAAATAAAATGTTGGAGGAAACTAAAGACTATTAAATAATTTTTAGTATTTGAAAGTCCAAAAACAAAATTAAATCTGTCGACTCTTCAAGTATGATGACTCCATGAAGGTAAAATTTTCCTTTGAAAACAAATTTTTTTTTATATATATAATTACATGTTTTTTTTAAAAAAAAAATGAAACAATTAGTGGATAAGATTAGAAATTATTAAATATATTTTAATTTCTGTTTGGGGTTCAAATTGGATTGTGCAAACTTGTATTATTGATGGTTTTTAATTACATCTTAAGAGCAGCCTTATTCTCTAGAATCTTTTTATTGATAACTTGTATGTAGTTTCAGATCAGAATTTCTTTATCGATCAGTACTTGTAGGTCTTGGGGAGATAGAGTGTCGAGGAATTGTGATAAGAGCTGACGAAATTGAGAGAGAAACTCTTAAAGTTGAATCAATGGTGTATATTATTACATTCTTTTTCTTCTTTATTTTTTCTTTTCTAATATTGAATTTTGATTTTAAAAAAAATCTTCTTAGTATTGCAACAGAATCAAGGAGCTTCCATTAGACGTTGTTGGCAACATCATCATCTTTCTATCATTCAAAGCTCCATTCTTGCCAAATACCAAAAAAACTTATACATGATGACAAGAAGAGTTGGGTTAAATAAAGTACTCACTACTGGGAAAATGACATTTAGCAACTGTTAAAATCATCACTAATCATAATTAGCGACCGTTTAAAACTATCAAAAAAACCATTGTCGTTAAATATTTTGTGACAATTTATTGTAGATCATCACTAATTAGCGATCGTTACTCCATCAATAAATGACCATAAATCATCGATTAACGAGTGTTTAGAAGATTGTGAATTTAGCGATGGTTTTACATAATCGTTGCTAAATCCATTGCTAGTTAGCGATAATTTTACTAATTAGCGACAGATTTAGCGACGATTATGTAAAACCGTCTCTAATTAGCGATGAATTTAGCAACGATTATGTAAAACCGTTGCTAAATTTGGGAAATTTTTTAATTTAAATATTTTCAGTTAATTATTTTAATGTTCACATGTTACTAATAAGAAACATAAAATGCAATCTAATTTAACAATAACAATAACGATATGAAACAGATTTATAAATATTATGAGACCTATATATATATATATATATATATATATATATACCAAATTATATTAAAGTTTATTACTATTTCAGCAAAAAAACATAAAAACGATAAAAAAAAATGTATTGTCATGAAGAACTACATCCACGTTTACAGATCACTACTATCATCAATGTTTGAACCACAACCTTCACCATATGATATAGACCATTGCATGCGCGAACGTCCCCTACCACGAGGTATAACCTACACATTATCACATTAATTAGTTAATATAACACAATAATTATAAAACATTGATATTTACATAAATAAGTTAAAATACATTTATTGAAATAATTAATTAACTTAATTTAACAAATTTAATTAACAAGTTTATCACTAAATTAACACATAATTAATTAAAAGAACACTCGATTATTTTTTTAAAACAACAATTAAATATTTTAATTAACAACTAATTTACTTTATTTAACAAATACAATGTTTAATTAACAACTATTTAATGAAACTAACAAATTATTATTATTTATTGAAATGTAATAATTTGATTAACAACAATTTAACTTGATTTAATTAACAAGTTTATCACTTAATTAACACATAATTAATTAAAAGAACACCTAATTAGTTTTTTTAAACAATAATTAAATATTTTTATTAACAACTAATTGACTTAATTTAACAAATACAATCCTTAATTAACACCTATTCAATTAAACTAGCAAATAATTATTTTTTAAAACAATTCAATAATTTAATTAACCACTAATTAACTTAATTTAATTAACAACTCAATCATTGAATTAACACATAATTAATTAAATGAACACTTAATTAGTTTTTTTAAAATGTTTAAATATTTTAATTAATAACTAATTAACGTAATTTAACAAATACAAAACTTAATTAACACCTACTTAATTAAACTAATAAATAATTTAAACTAATTACTAATAATTACTAACAAATTAACTCTCTAACAATTATCTAACTAATAGCTAAATAACTAACAATGACTTACCAATTACACAAATGGAGGAGGAATTACCGCCAACTCACGAGTGATTGGAGGAGGAGCTGCTGCTGCACTATTCACGGACAAGAGGGGGAAAGAGAGGAGGAGAAGGAAAGGAGAGAAAGAAGAAGAATATAGAGGAGGAAAAGGAAAGAAATGGAGGGGAAGAAGAAAAGAAGAGACTATTGGATTTTGGAGGAGCTGCTATCATGAATGGAGGAAAAATGGAGGAGGTGGAGCTACTGGAAAAGAAGAAGAAGAGAGAAGAAGAAATGAAAAAAATTCACGAAGGTTAATTTAGGATTGGTTTTTGCGAAGGTTTTTTTCCATCGCTAAAACTAACGTCCCCCTTCTTTTTTGAATTTCACATTTTCCCCCAACATAAGAAATTGGCAACGGTTTTTAAAAACCATCACTAATTTTCAAAGTTTTTAGCGACGTTTTCAAAAACCATTGCTAAGTAACAAAATAAGCGACGTTTGATAAAAACCGTCACTAATTGGCATGGTTTTTAACGACAATTTTTGAAAATCGTTGCCAAAGCTGTGACAATAAACATATTTGTGACTATTTACTCAAAACCATCATTAATTCACAGATTTAGCGATGGTTTTTAATACCGATGTTAAAAAATAATCGCAAACAAACAGTTTTCTTATAGTGACTATTTTGTAATATATAGTTTTATGGATGCTCTCGAAACATCATCAACATAACAACACAAATGTATTTACAAAAATAAATTAGTTAATCATTATTATTTTAAAAACTAATTATTTAATTTTTTAATTAACATCATATTTAATTTAATTTTTTTTCTATTTCTTAAGACAAAAAATCAAAATAAATTGAAAAAACAAAAGGCATTAGGTTATAAGGAAATTTAAAAATATACAAAATATTCTCTCAATTTCGAGTATAAAAGTGAAAGATTTTAGGAACAACTGAGATAGAAGATTTGGTTCGTGCCCAGGAAGTCGAATTTGCAATGAGATCATGCTTTGATTGGTTCGAAAACAACCGTGGAGTGGTTTGCAATATGCAAGCTGAACTGCCCTCCTTTTTCGTTCACATCAATCTTCTCCATTCCAGGTGGAGCTTTCATCTCAAAATTTGACACCAATCTTGCAACCACCATTCCTAGGATTGGCATTGCAAGTATGATCCCTGGGCAGCTACGCCTGCCCACACCAAATGGCAAGAAACGAAAATCTACCTTTCCGCCTACAGCAGCTTCGGTGTCACGGTCTTCTTCCAAGAACCTCTCTGGCCGGAACTCCGACGGTTTCTCCCACCATTCAGGGTTGTTAGCTAACCACCACGCATTGACTACCACCTTTGACTCTTTAGGAATGGTAAACCCTCCTAGTTTTGCTTCTTCAAGGTTCATATGGGGCACTAACAAGGGAATTGGGGTGTGTAGCCTCAGTGTCTCTTTTATGGTGGCTTGCAAGTATGGTAGTTCATGCAGGTTAGACTCTGTGACTGGATTTCCCTTCAGGACGGCTGTGATTTCATCTCTGATCTTCCTCTGAACGATCGGATGATTGACCAGCTCAGCTACTGCCCACTCCATAGACCATAATGTTGTCTCAATTGCTGCAACATTAATGTTCTCCACAACGTAAAGCACATTTTCTTCACTGATTTCTCCTTTCATTTGAGCATGAATTATGTGATCCATGGCACAGCTTATCTTGTGCTTCTCTCCATTTGCAGTCATTATTTTCCTGTAAATCACGAGTAAGGTCAAATGTGGGCTAAAATTAAAAGGATGGTTGGTAGAAAATTAGGTGATCATTTTCTATACAAATTAAGAAAGAAAAATCGCAATTCATTACCTTCTTTTCTCAATAAAATAGTTGTTGAAGAAAGCTAGCCTCCTTTGCTGCAAATCCCTGCACTTGTTCAAATACCCTCTTAAAAATGGTCTAAGCCAAGGGATAAAATCTCCGTAATTATACTCAAAACTCTGAGCCAATCGACTCCTCTCAGAGTTGAACCTTGTTGCCTGAATAAACAAAGGGTCCTCTTGGGACTCAAATTTTGCATCGAACATCATTCTGTACATAATATTGTACAGCATCAGCTGCAAACGTTTCCTGATAACAATCCCTTCTGCCCTAACTTTCTCGTTATCTTTTAGGTCATGAACCACGAGGTCCATTTCTTGCTCCCATGTGGTACTGTATTGGTTCACAACTTTGTTGGTGAAAAACGGCAGTGTCATAATTCTACGCATTTTTCTCCAATGCTCACCATAGACTGTGAACACCATGTCCTGTCCATTGCCGGTGAAGATGTCGAAGACAACGTTACGTGGGCGAGACCCGAATTCGACACCTTGTGCGTGTAGGACTTGGGTGGCTAGCTCAGTGTCGGATACAACAGCTAAGTTTTTTGAACCAAGTTTTAAAAGGAATACAGGACCATAGGTTTTTGACATTGATGCTAGAAGACGGTGGTTAAGGTCATTGCCAACTTGGAGCCAATTGCCAAACACTGGGTATGAGGTAGGTCCAGGAGGGAGGTTGTTGCTTCCTGAAGACTTGGCAAAAATGGTGCTAAACAAGTATAAGATTGGTGGAAGTAGAGGAAGGAGGATTGATGTGGGTAGGTTAGGGCATGAAAACTTCATGCATAAAACAAATGCTGTTGCTAAAAGAGTGAAGAACATTGATTTTGTAACAGAAGGAGCCATGCTTAAAGAAATGGATGTTGGAAAATGGTATGATTTTGATAGATGGAAGGAGAGAAATGGGGTTTTATAGAGAAGAAGAAATGGAGGTAGGGGAGGAGGTGGTCATTGAAAATGGTTTTGTGATGGAATCTATAGGTTTTGGAAAATTCGAGGTAGGAGGGTAGATGGTCAACTTTTTCTGAAGTCAGTATTATGGTTGGTAGGTGAAGATGCTGTCAGCCTTAGGTTTTTTTATTTGTCTTCAAGATTGCCAACTAGCTTGGTGGACTCCTCGTAAAAAGTATAGTAGCAAATTATAAATTAGTCCTTCTATTTTTGAGAAATAAATTAGTTAATCCTCCTTGTTTGAAAATTATATATTTGGTTTTTTAATTAACATTAATATGCTTAATTTAATATTATTTTTTAAAAAATATTTTTTTTCCTTCAATCCTTCCACATTTTTTTTATTTTTTGCTATTTCATAAGACAAATAATCAATATAAATTGAAAAAGAAAAAGAAAAAGGATTAACCTAGTACTTCTATTTTTAAGAAATAAATTAGTTAATCCTTCTTTTTTGAAAGACTAATTATTTAGTTTTTTCATCAACATTAATCATATTTAATTTAATATTATTTTATTTTAAAAAATATATTTTTCATCAATCCTTCTATATTAATTTCTTTTTTTTTCTATTTTATAAGACAAAAAATTAAATAAATTGAAAAAAATTAAATTATAAGAAAATTTAAAAATAAAGAAACTAAATAATTAATTTTTAAAACAAAAGGAACTACTTTATTTATTTCTCAAAACTAAAGGGGTCAATTTATAATTTACTCTAAAAAGTACTTTACCTTTTTTTTTATGTGTAATTCTTTAATTTGCATCCACCTTGTCTTTTGTCAAATCCCCACTTGGACACTAATGCTAATTTGTTTGAATTGAATATTTAAATGTTTCAAATCTCGATTGTTTTGAACCCTACTCCAATCCTACCGTTGGTGACCCGAACATAATTTTGGTCCCACCACAAGCATCCAAACTCGATCCCAACCTGACCTTCTATCGCCCTAAGCTCACCGTGGCTCCGACCCTATGGTCAGACCACCCCCCATGAACTTATTGAATTTGATTTGGGCATGATCCACATCCATTGCCTGGCATTTTGAACAGGACCTAACTCCCAAAACAAGGTTGGCATTGTAAAAAAACAGTTCTAAAATGTTTTTTTTTTCCCAAAAGTTTTGAGACTTGTTATCATTTTTTATTTAATTGTTAAAAAACAAAAAAAAAATAAGTTTCCATATTTTGTTTTCAATTTTTCAAAATTTTTAAGAAAACAAAAAATAAGTGATTGATTAATAAATAAATAAATAAATAAATATTGCATGACCATGAAAATATAAATAAATATTGCATGATTATCAAAGTAAAAACTCTCTCCATTCCTTTTTAATGAAAACAAATCTAACGAGAATTAACCCAAGGAATTAAATGTTTATATCTTTTGTGTGTGTTGACGTAAACAATACTTTCAATTAATAGGAAAAGAAAAATAAAATGTTGGAGGAAACTAAAGACTATTAAATAATTTTTAGTATTTGAAAGTCCAAAAAATAGGATTAAATATGTTAACTCATCAATGATGATAACTCATTAAGGTAAAATTTTCCTTAGTCTATCACATTCTTGATTTGAAAACAAATTTTTTTTTATATAATTACATGCATTTTTTTTTGTTTGAAATAATATGAAACAATTACTGGATAAGATTAAAAATTATTAAATATATTTTAATTTCTTTTTGGGGTTCAAATTGGATTGTGCAGACTTGGATTATTGATGGTCTTAATTTAATTAATTGCATCTTAAGAGCATACTCATTCTCTAGAATTTTATTCTTGATAACTTGTATGTGGTTTCAGATTAGAATTTCTTAATTTATTGATAATTTGTAGGGTTTGGGAGACGGTGTGTGGAGAAATTGCGATAAAAGCTGATGAAATTGAGAGAGAAACTCATAAACTTCGATCAATGGTGTGTATTATTCCATTCTTTTTTCTTCTTTATATTTTCTTTTCTAATATTGAATTCTGATATATTTTTTTCTTCTTAGTATTGCAACAGAATCAAGGAGCTTCAAGGACCTTCCATTAGATGTTATTGGCAACATCGCCTTTGTTCTACCTTTCAATCCTTTTATTTTATTTTTCAAGATAAAAAATCAAAATAAATTAAAAAATGAAAAGGATTAAGTAACAAAAAAATTTAAAAATAAAAAAATTATATAATTAATTTTTGAAATAAGATGGACTAATTAATTCATTTCTCAAAACTAGAAAGATTCATTTTTGAGTAGTTCTTTAATTTGCATCCATCTTTTCTTTTTGTCAAATCTCCACTTGGAGAATAATGCTAATATTTTATTAACTCATTTTTAGAATTTTTAATTTCACTTGTAAAACTATTAGACTGCTATTGTCAACAGTGCTTAAATTCAATGTGTAGAGTTATATAACCTCGATAATTCTCAGCAAGACAATTTCAAATAATTGTGAAATATGTAATTAATTTCAACACAAAATTTTAGAAAGTATTGTATGATTTTAGTTGGTAAAATCTCTAGCTATTATTTTTTAATAAATAAATATTGCATGGCCACGAAAAAAAAAATTGCATGACTAATAAAATAAAAACTCTTTGTATTTTTTTTAATGAAAACAAATCTAAATGGGATTAATGCAAAAATTAAATGTTTATATCTTTTATATATATTGACGTAAACAATACTTTCAATTGAAAGATATAAAAAAAAAATGTTGGAGGAAACTAAAATATATTAAATATTTTTTAGTAATTGAAAAGGAAAAAAAAAACAGAAGTAGATATGTTAAATACCAATAAATATTTTTCACTGATGTTAGAAGGATGTTAACTCCAGGAACGTTAAATTTACTTTATCTATCACGTTCTTTGGAACAAAATTTATTTCTTCCAAATAATTGCAAAATACGTAATTAATTTCAACACAGAATTTTTAGAAAGTATTGTATGATTTTAGTTGGTAATTAAAATCTTTAGCTATTATTGTTTAAATCATTATTCCCATAATATGATAGTTTTAATCTTATTTACTATTATATGTCATTATTTTTCTTAATTATTAAACCAAGTAAAACAGAAAATAAAAAAATACTAAACAGAGAAAGAAATATATCATATTTAATATTTGTATTCTTCTTTCTTTTATGCTTTCATCTAAATATATATATTTGATTTATAGTGTTGACACTAAGTTGGGCTAATATTTCTAATGATGTAAAATAGATTTTTTTTTTTTTTTTGAAGAAAGAAATAAAAAGAATTTAGTTGGAGAAAGAGAATACAAAGACAGAAAGAGCAAAAATGTGGAAGAGAGAGATTATAAAATCCTATACTTCATTATTTAATTAGTTTTCTAAGTAAAAAAAAAAAACTTAAAATATATATTGTAATGACACCTGCAACTGATGAAGTCCATATGGCATTAAATACTCTATTATGAAAAATAAGATTAAAACTATCCTATTTTAAAAATTAAAATTCTAAACCATCCTATTTTAAGAAAATACTCTAAAAAAAAACTAAGATGGTAGAGGAAATTAAACACTATTAAATATTTTTGGTACCTCAACTGTTAGTTATTTTAAACAAATATTTTTTATATGGATGAAAGAAAGATGACGACTCTAAACAAATATTTTTCTTATGGATGATAGAAAGATGATACCACACCAACGTTAATTTTTCCTTAATTACTCTATCACATTCTTTTTTTATATATATATAACATAAAAAAAATTAAAATGTTGTTTTCAATATTTCAAAATTTTCAAGAAAACAAAAAATAAGTGATTGATTAATGAATGAATATTGCATGACTATGAAATAAATAAATAAATAAATAAATAGTGCATGACTGATAGAGTAAAACCTCTTCGTATTCCCTTTCAATGAAAACAAATCTAAATGGGATTAAAGCAAGGAATTAAATGTTTATATCTTCTGTATATATTGACGTGAACAAATAAAAAAATATGAAATATTAGAGGAAACTAAAAAAATATGAAAAGTATTTGAAAGATGAAAAACAGAATTAGATCCGTGAAATACCAAGAAATATCTTTCACTGATGATGAAAGGATGACAGCCCCAGCAAGGTAATTTTCTTCTTTAGTTTATTACATTTTTTATTTGAAACCAAATTTATTTATTTGTAACAAGTATACTCTTTTTAAATAACATGAAATTAAAATGTTAGAAGTCTAATTTTCCAGTTGTTGCAGTTGTTTTTTTCTTGTCTCGTGTACTGTAAAATGATGAAATCTTGTGAATTTATGATGTAATTAATTCAATTTCTCTCTATTTTATAGTTATTTTAATTGTTTCTTCAATTTTTATATTTATTTATTATTTTATTTTTATTTTTTTGTGATTTTTTGGATCATGAAACAATATAGGGTTAGGGTGAAGGAGTCATGGTTCAAATTGCTAATGCTTTCATATTACAGGCATGGTAGGTTGCGGTGGTCAATGACCCTATGAAAGTCTTGTACTTATGAAGAGTTTTATTCCACGTACTCAGCATATGCAGCATAATCAAGCTCAAAGAAAAAGTAATGGAAAGCTCAGTGATATTGATAGCTTTTCGATGTTTCAGTACTGTAATTCCAATTTCTTATCTTATTTTTACTGAGTTAAAATTATTTATCAACAAAAGCATAAATAATTAAGATTGATTAATGTGAATTTTGAGTAAAGACGATTTAGCCATGCATGCGTGCTTGCACTACACGCATCACTTGCATATAGTTTTTCGATATGTTTTAGTAATATAAGACTATTCATAAAATCTAACATAATAGCTTAATTTTTTGAATTGAAATAATTTTTTAACTTGATATTAAAATATTGATAAGCAACTAATCATAAATTCAAATCTCATTATTGTGACTTGTTTATTAAAATTAAATAATTCAATATTGTATCATATTCAGTAAATAGATTGATTTCATCTATCAAACATGAGAAAATTATTAGAATAAAATATGTTTTTCTAAAGTATTTTTGCTAAATTTTATTTTTAATGGGAGTAAAATAAAACACAAGCTCTGATGTACTCATTTTTAATTTCAATTGATATGAAAATTGGTTTGAAGATATATCACTATTTGTGTGTGTGTATGTATATATATATATAAATATATATATATATATATAAGAAGTAATAATGAATAAAATATGTTTTTCTAAGTTGCTTTTGCTAAGGTTCATTTTTAGTGGGAGTAATAAGATAAGTTTATATATGGTATTATTAGATGGTAGAGTGTTAATTAAGTGCAGGGATTAGATTGAACAAAGAAAAAAATACGAGTAATAAAATTGTAGTAACTGCTGGAATTTTGAAAGTAAAAATAAAACCATTTGACGAGAAAAAAGAAACGAACAAGCTCAGATGCACTCGCTTTCGTCGGATGAAGATCGGACGGTAGTGATAGACCCTATCATCACGCTGAGTACAGAATTCCTCACAGCTTGAGAATGCACCAGCCGGGAATCGAACCCGGGTCTGTACCGTGGCAGGGTACTATTCTACCACTAGACCACTGGTGCTTGTTTATTCAATCTTGCAAAATAATATATATTTACAATAACTATTGAGTCTAATCGATCATCTCGATCAACGGCATTGCATTCCTTTTTTTATTACCTCAATTCTATTTTTATCGAGATTTTCAAATTGAATCATATCGAAATTATTTACATGATTTATATAAGATTAACTCTAATTTTTAAAATATCCATATAAGTTCATCAAATAATTTTTTTTTATGTAAAACCTTGTTTTACTTCAAGCTAAGTTTCATCAAATAAAACCTTGTTTTTTTTTAAAAAAAAATATATTTAACTTGACAGACATTAGAAGCTTAGTTGTTTACTTAAGATTACGAAATGAATATTAGTTGGATTTCAAAGTTAAAATCTTAGGTGTTTACTTAATACTACGAAATGAATATTTGTTAAATTTTAAAATTAATAGAACTCATAAAAACAAATTTAAGAATATAGTCACTAAAATAGAAAAAAAAAGTATATATACTCAAATAAAAAACAATACATAGACTCAATAGAAAATAAATGAAAGTACAAATACTCGATTAAAAATAAAGTAAAATATATAGTGAACAAGTGAGCATGCTGAATTGCCAATTTAACAACATCCTCAACATGAATCTCACATAAATATTTAAGTAGAAAAAAAATAAAAGTTGGAAAGCACTAATATAAAAGCTGAAAAAGTTCAGACACCAAATACGTACAAATCAGTTTACTTGAACTATTAGTAAAACTGAGGTGGCGAAATATTATTGGATACTAAAAAGACAATGATAGGAGTAAATTATAAATTAGTCCCTTTATTTTAAAGAGAATAATTAATTAGTATTTTTAAAAAATAATTATTTAGTTCTTATATTTTTTAATCTTGTAACTTAATCCTTTTTATTATTTTTAATTTATTTTGATATTTTTTAATAAATAAAGAGAAATAATAAGTAAAAATATGAAAGTATTAATGAGGAAAAAATATTTTTTGAAATAAAATAATATAAAATTAAACGTGATTAACATTAATCAATGAATTAAATAATTATTTTTTACAAGATATTAATTAGTTCTTTTCGAAAAATTAGAAGGACTAATTTATAATTTACTCAGATTGGTAGAGATAGTTAAAATAAGTCAAGAGGAAAGGGCTTTGCTTAGCTTTGGTTTGGCAACCGAAAACCAATTAGGCGGAGCATTCAATCTCACACACTCTCTTACACTCTTTGTTTTTCCTCGTTTCTATCGACAAGACAGCAACACAAACTAAAGTCCCAACAAATCTATCCCTTCCTTCACTTCTGTCTTAAATACTCTCTCTCTTTCTCTCTCTCCTTCTCTTTGTGCTTTCATTGTTTCCAAAACAACCCATCATTTCTTGATCAAGTTAAGGTATATCTGGTGATGATCTTATTTAGTTATGTTTGTTTTGATGTTAAAGGTAATGTGACTGTTGTGTTGATATTTGAAGTGGTGTTTGTTTGTTTTTTTTTTGATTTTGTAGGCTTTTTGGGTTCCAAAATGGAGGCTACGTTGCCTGTTTGCAAATCTGTTACCTCTACTCCTGTAAGTTGCTGTTGCTCTTTTGTTTTTATGTTTTCGGTTCTGTTGCTTACTTGTTTTTGCGTAATGTGACGTGTTTTTGGTTCGAATTGGTAGAAATGTATGTTCTTTTTGTTTGATTTGTAATGGGTTCGCTTTGGAATGTTCGTTAGATGGAAATGAATCTTGAGTTTTGTTTGTTTTATTCTTTGGTTGATGGATTTTTAGTGTTGGGCTTAGTTTGTATTTGTGGAGCTGGGAAAGTTGAATCCAATTCAGTAATTTACTTGAATTGTAGATATGTGGTGCTATTTCAATTCTATGATTTTGCTAGCTTATGTGGGTGATGTAATTAATAAGGATGGATTGGGAAGGTTAATGAGCTCAAAAGGTTGGATATTTCATTAAAAGTTTTGTTGAAATACAAAGATAATTGATAACAAGTGCCTGTCTGATGCATACAACATGCATTGTTGGTGTTTGTTTTAAAGAATTCCAATGATACTGCTATGTCATGCATTTTTAGTTTTGTTAGGCTGTGATTTCTAGTGAAATATCCTTATCAATGTTTATGTTCAAAGTCCGTGGTTGGTAAGAATACTAAAATAGTTTATTTATTCAATGCATAAGGGTTTATTCGCCAGGAGAACGTGTGGAATTAGGAGTTCTCAATGCAGCTTTATGGTAGGAAGTAAGGTTAACTTTCCTAGACAAAGAGCTCAGGCTGCCCAAGTTAGTCGTTCTGCTAAGAAGAATGGAGGAGCTCTTGGGGTTACATGTCGTGCAGAAAAAATTCTGGTAGCAAACAGAGGAGAGATTGCAGTTCGTGTTATTCGAACTGCACACGAGATGGGGATTCCATGTGTTGCTGTTTACTCAACCATAGATAAGGATGCACTTCATGTGAAATTGGCTGATGAATCAGTTTGCATTGGTGAAGCACCCAGCAATCAGTCGTAAGTGGTTATAATAGTCTTACTTTATCAGTCACGTGCATTACACATGGACATTAGTTTGCAACTAGTAAAGGTGGGTTTAGGAAAAGCTTCTGAGCCCGAGTTGGTAATCTGGAACAATTCTTCTCAATTTAACAGCTGTTACTACTCTCTATGTTTCACCTCATGTCCTATTCATTAAAGCATTCCCCGCTGTTTTTTGATTTTGCTGGAAGGCGGTTAATTGCATTGATGTCCCTTGGTAATCAGTTTTAACTTGGTGATTATAATTTTTTTCCTGCTTGTTGAAAGTTGCGATGTTTATATAGAAAATAATTTGGTGATTGGGTACTCATTTAATTTCTCAATAACAACTGCATGATACTCTTAAATTGTAGATCTGGAATATAATGAATTTATTTGTATGTTTCCACTGTTTTTTTACAGGTACTTAGTGATCCCAAATGTTTTATCTGCTGCTATCAGTCGTAGATGTACAATGCTGCATCCTGGATATGGCTTCCTTGCTGAAAATGCTGTATTTGTGGAAATGTGCAGAGAACATGGAATAAACTTTATTGGGCCTAATGTAAGTAGAGACCAAGAAACTCAATAATTGTAAAAAGTGAGATTTATACATTATCTCCTAGATCTTAGCTTATCACATGTCAACTATTTTCTTACATGTTTTTGTTTAAATTCTGTTTGCCTTGAATTAGATGCTAAAATTACTGCTGTCTAAATCATGACAGATAGGTGAAAAATCCCATATTTGCAGTACCATGCATACAGATTTTGCACAACAATTCAATCTAGCATGCCCCAAAATTGGGGTTATGGCTAACGGTGACTATTATTGTAATCTCTTTTGATAAAAATATCCTGTAGTGACTGACATCCTTTGTTATGTAGATCTTCATTCATTAGCATGGTATGATGCATATTGTTGAAGTTTGGTGATTACCTTTAGTTGATGTAGTGAAAAGCACATAGAGGACAGCATGAAGATAAATTATCTTTATGCTAAAAACTGTGATTGTTGAGTTGGTTGTTATTTTTTGGTTATTCGCCAAATATCTTGCGGCAAATACATTTCCTGCCATGAAGTTTACGTTTAACCTTGACTGCTTCTGTATGAAATGTGATTATTTACACTATAATCCCACTATGGTGGTAAGTTTTAGGATGGGGCGCATATTGTTCTATCTCAGCTTTGGTTGTATATTATTCAGTGTATCTTTAAAGTTTGTAGGTGGTTTCAGACAATCAGGTGGCTTAGTAGTAGAAAACTGTTGGGAAAAAGTTGACGAAATTCTCAGTTTTAGCACAAAGACATTAAAAGAAAATGCGACACTGGGTCTTCCAGTTCATAAACCATCTTTCAAAACTTCTCCATAGAATGCTGAGTCATGCTTTCAAATTCATAAACCAACTTTCCAAATTCTCTCTGCCGAGGCATACATGGTTCTAGCAAAAGTTTCCTCTTGTTTTTCTTTCATTTTGATTATCCTTTCCATATTGTACTTGAAACCTATAATTTTCTGTATTGTAAATGGTGAAGTTGACTGTGTTGCTCCATTGGCTTGTTTTGAAGAAATTGGATTAAGAATTGACCGAGTTTTTACCTGGTGAAAGTATACTATGAATGCATGTTTATGGCTGTTTATCACTTGCATAATTACAGAAGGATGCAAATTATTGTTTTCTTGGTGCAGCCCGACAGTATAAGGGTCATGGGTGACAAGTCAACTGCTAGAGAAACAATGAAGAAGGCAGGGGTTCCAACTGTACCAGGAAGTGATGGCTTGTTACAGGTGTCAAGTTTGACCATTATCTGTTTTATTTGATTCCAAAAACCTTGGCATGAAAACAATTGCATGGCTTACAAGTTCAGTTTAATTATTTGGTTACCTCCTTTTTTTCTTTTTGATAATATAACAAGTAGTTTGTTTTCTGATAAACTTTTGTGCATCAATTGTTGTTAGAGTACTGAGGAAGCAGAAAGGCTAGCCAAAGAGATTGGTTATCCTGTGATGATCAAGGTAAGTAATCCCCATCATACTATATCTTCTTTGATAGACATGGTTTATACAGGCTGTGACAAAATTGAATTGCAATATATGTCGTTGCTACCCTTCCAGACTCAGACAAATGACAGTCAGAATTTATACAGAAAGTATGGAGTAGTGTTTTCTCTTACTTCTAGCTTGATCACATCTGTTTCATCAACTTGTTTTGTTTTCACTTAGCCATATAGCAAGCAATTTATGGAACTCTTTACTATCTTTGCTGGAAATCTGATCCTACATGGGTGCATGTGCACGTATAGAGAAGAAAGAAAGCTAAAATGCACTCCAAGTAACCTTGCACAATAGTGCCAAGCATTACAATCAATTAAAATGTCTTACAAATCATCCCAAAATTGGAATTATCCGAAATTGATCACTTGGATCATATATTGAAATTATATGTTTGCATCTTTAATAAGTTATCCTCAATTTTATACTTAACTTTTGCTCCTTTTGGTTTCTGAAGAATATAAAAGAGTGAAATTTCTTGAAAATAGAGTCTGGACTGGCTGCTATGAGATTTAGAGATTTCACATTTTATAATATCAAGCAAATGAAGCATTCAAACTTCTATTGAAATAAAACTATATTCTGTAGGCAACGGCAGGTGGTGGTGGACGTGGAATGCGGCTCGCCAAAGAACCTGATGAGTTTGTAAAGTTGCTACAGGTACGAAATTAGTATGGAGCTGTTCGTTATAGTGTTGAATATTTTTCTGTGAAGCATGTTGCACGAATTCTTTTGGTGTCTGGTTGAATTTAGTTCACTTTCTTTGTTCTACAGCAAGCTAAAAGTGAGGCTGCTGCTGCATTTGGAAATGATGGAGTTTATTTGGAGAAGTATGTTCAAAATCCAAGACATATTGAGTTCCAGGTAATTTGTGTGCTCAGAGATTATACGAGTTAATAATAATTTAGTCCCTTAAGTTTATCAAGACAAATTAATTAGTCACTGTAGTACAAAAAATAATTAAATAGTCATTTGACCGGTGTTGACCATACTTAATTTAGAAGTATTATGTTCCAGAAAGTGCCCTCTTTTCTCATCAATCGTTGCATCTCATCTTCTTCTTTTTCCCTCTTTCTATTTCTGAAAAAAAATCATATTAAATTGGAAAAAAAGGGTTAAGTTTTAATTAGATGTAAAAACATAGGGATTAAATATATATTTTCTGAAACCATGAGGACTAATTAATTAGTTTTGCGGAACTACAGGGACTAAGTCATAATTAACTCGAGATTATATTTAATGAAGGTTTCTTAAGAACTATTATGGAAGATCATTAGAGTCGAGTCTGGAAGGGGAATGGCAGAAACCTTGTTAATGTTAATGTAGGGGAAAATATTAATAAGTGTTGGCTTTTAGCAATGAAAATTTTATTGTTACCTAGAATTACGAGCTATAAGATTGAATCAGCTTTTATTTAAACAACGTGTAAATCTCGTTGGAAGAATCTGCATCTGTCTTAGACAACCTGTACAAGTAGTTATCACAAAAGAGAAGGAAAATGCCAGTTTTATAATTCAAAAGAGTATCTTGAACAGTAAATTCATCTATTTATTGAGGGTAAAAGGCTTTAAGCATAAGTGAATTGAATGAACTATCTAGAAATGAAATATGCTGTATCATGAAGATAAATCCAAATCCCAATCTGAATTCCTGTGCTGCAATGTTCTTCTGCTCATGCAGAAAAATAAGTACTTTAATTTGCTTTGCTGAAAATCTGAATCTGATATGAGGAAGGAACAACTCTGAGTTGATTAGTCTAAACACTATTGACTTTTGAGTTGACTCAACCAGGTTGATAAAAGCAGTCTTACTTTTCTCATAACACTTCTGACACTGCTGAATTTCGATTTGTCAATAATATAGTTCAGTTTAGTACTACTAAATTGCCATTTCCTTTTCTCTACATCTATCTACTCCCAACATCAATATGAAATCTTCTGAATCATTCTAGTACATTATTTGATTTGGCAGGTTCTTGCAGACAAATTCGGTAATGTTGTTCATTTTGGTGAGCGAGACTGCAGTATTCAGGTATTGTTTACTTTCTTATTTTCCAACTATCTCAATGTGTTGCCATCTGTAAGCTATTCCTAAGAGGTTGTTGGATTTGTTCACAGAAAAGAAGATAGCTTTTCACTTTCAGCTTTAAAAACCAATTCTAGATATTTCATGTGAGCTTGATAATTTCTCAATGAGCATCAATAATTTTAAGGAAGCTGTGAGGCTTGGTTTCAGCTTAGTCATGTTCAATCCTAAGATAGAATGCATAAAAGGTTTACCATATGTTCTGGGAGTGAATTCCTCCCGTTTCTCCCTTTCTTTTTGTTGTTATTGTTGTTGTTGTGTTTGTTATTTCATGTTTACTTTTAACTGTGAACCTAGCTATTGAAGTAATGGTTCTGTTGAATATGGCTCTTATATAGAGACGTAACCAAAAGCTGTTGGAAGAAGCACCATCTCCTGCTTTGACTCCTGAGTTACGGAAGGCCATGGGTGATGCAGCAGTTGCAGCTGCAGCATCCATAGGGTACATTGGTGTTGGAACAGTCGAGTTCCTTTTGGATGAAAGGGGTTCCTTCTACTTCATGGAAATGAACACTCGAATCCAGGTTAAATAATAAGTGATTTATCTCTGTTAATGTGTTTATAAAAATCCCCATTTTGGTGGTTAATAGTGCTTTCTTTTGATAAAATAAAAAATGCAGGTGGAGCATCCGGTGACTGAAATGATTTCTTCTGTTGATTTGATTGAGGAACAAATTCGTGTAGCCATGGGAGAGAAACTTCGATACAAACAGGTATTGAAAGAAAGGATACATAAAAGTATTTATGCTTCATGCTTGTACATCTATTTGATATTTCTCTGGATTTCAATTTTCAGGAAGAAATTATTCTTAGAGGACATTCAATTGAATGCCGTATCAATGCAGAAGATGCTTTTAAGGGATTCCGACCAGGGCCAGGTATGTCTACATTGTGCTGAACATTACATTCTTGTTAAATTATGCTGCTAGTTGATCCTCTTTATTACCACTTTTCTGGTTGCTATTGAGTATGCTGTTTTCCACCCAAACTCCATTTTATCCTTCCTATTTAGCATTTGCTAGTTTTGTCTGTTTAATGTTTGGTTCATCTCACACTACTCCTGGATTTTGTTGGTGTTGCTTTGGGTGAAATTATGAAAATTTTATTCATCTTCCTGTTATTAAGTTTCTGTTCCCTGGATATGTTTCGAAAACCTGAAAACATATTTCATAATTATCCGGCCTCTCCTAAGATTTGAACTCTTTTCCTTCTAAACAAACAGGAAGAATAACAGCATATTTGCCATCTGGAGGCCCGTTTGTTAGAATGGACAGCCATGTTTATCCTGATTACGTGGTTCCTCCAAGCTATGATTCCCTACTTGGAAAGGTTTGTCAAACATTTCCTTGTTCTTGTTTATGTTTTTGGCCATGTGACAAGGGGCATTCATGCCATTGTGTCTCAATGTGATTGTTTTTTGCTCCCTAGGTGTATATCTGCATTCTGTAACTGTTTGGCTGCATCTGTTCTAATGACAATGCATTGATATATACTCCATAGACATAACAATAAGCCCCATGTTTGTCTGGTTTGGCTGCTTTCTATCTCTTAGAATGGTGCCTACCCACACTCTATCTGGATAAATTTACTTTTGGATGATTAGGTTCTTTGTTTATCAATTTGAGGTGATTTTTTTCCCTTTTTGAAGTCCTCATCCATTAATATAAGTTGTATGCTGCTGATAGAAGACACTAATTTTTATTATGTAACCCCATACTGCCCAAGCACAAAGTTTGGTATAGAATTGTATAAAAAGTTTTGTGTGGGCTTTTCCACCTCTAAGCTCAAACCTTTTTTTTGTTGGATTCTGTACATGAATCTGAGCCAACCATTCTTATTATTGTCCTATTGTTAGATTTGTTTGCCGTCTCTGAAATCTGTTTGTTTTCCTTGAGTTTGTGTTCATGTGATTCTGTTGCGCCCACATTTTTGTGCTGGGTGCTCTTAACATTTCCTTCACTAGATTGGGAACTATCATTCTGCCAAAAGATCTAAATCATGAAGGTGATTTGGGTCAACTATCAGTTGTTTCTAAATTTTTAAAGGCATTCTAGGCATTTAGAGTTAAATTGGAGTTTTAAATGCAGCCGTAATGAACAAAGGGAATAAAAAATGCAGAATGTAGTTTAAGTTGGAAGGCACAAAATATTGCCAGATTTCCTACTTAAGCTAGATATCTTGCTTCAATTTTTCATCATTGTCAAGGATAAAAGTGTATCTATGAGACATAACGAAGAGTGTTTTTTTCGTTCTTTTTAGACGTATAGCTTTCCCTTCACATTAATTTTGTAGTTGATACCTGGATGCATTGTGTTTGTAGTATAAAGCTACCATGTATGAGTGTGCTTATTTAACTGCTGAAAACAATTGGCTTCAGCATATGGTTTTAATTACTGTGACATTTGGAACATTTTGCAGCTTATTGTCTGGGCTCCAACAAGAGAAAAGGCAATTGATAGAATGAAAAGGGCTCTTGATGACACTATTATTACCGGTAAGTGTCCAAGTTTTTGAAAGGTATCCCACACTGGTGCCCTTGTTTCTTTTTAATACTCAACTTGAGATAGTGGCAATGCATTGACACTATGGAAAGAGCATGGTGGGTTTAGGGAGTGTGAGTTTTGAAACCACTTTTTTTTTTTCCTTTCGTTCTTTGATCTGGATGCATGCAAATGCAAACCTCTTACAAGGCTCATCCTTTGATCAGTTTTGTGAGCCACTATCCACAAAGGGTCAGTGTAAATTTTTGTTTCAGTCTGCCACTAATTGCAGCACAGTGGAGACAAGCCATGTGTGGCTTTTTGGTCAATCAAGCACCTCTTAATTTATTTCATGGATGCAATTTGTTTTGTTCCTAGATTCTGTATATTCTTTAATTGTTAATCAATCTGTTTCTCTATCCAGGAGTTCCAACAACGATAGATTACCACAAACTTATTCTCGAAATTGAGGTTAGGAAAACTATAATTTGAAATTCTATTCATGTACTTTACAGAAAAACCCATGTATTTTTTAAACTGATCGGATGGATCTATGTTGCCTTCTCATATGCGCCCTCATTGCAGGACTTCAAAAATGGAAAGGTTGATACTGCTTTCATTCCAAAGCATGAACAGGAGTTAGCAGCGGTAAGAAGCTGATATAATCCCATTTCATTGAAAATTGACCTGGGACGCAATGGTTTTCTTGGTCAAAACCACACATTTTTGGTTACTATGAAACCCCATTTCACAGTTTCACTTCAACAAACTCATTAAACTGACCTCCATATCCTTTTGGGTTCTTGCTTATGATAGTAGAGTCAAAGTATATGCTTAAATGCTTATGCTCTTACCAGACCTCAACATCCAGTTCAGAATCATGCCCTTTGTCATCCCTTTTTCCCCTTAGTTCCTTTCAGATCACGGTGTTCGTTGTTTAGATATAAGCTTCTTCATGGTTTTTTTTTTTTTTTTTTTGCTCTTCTTGAATTCTATCTTGATACATGCTCAAGGTGTTCTCAACTGATTCCACTTTTCTTCTTTTGTCCCTGCAGCCACAACAAATTATACCAGCCAAACAGTTGACCAATTCAGCTGCATAAATAGATCACTTCCCAAATCACAACCATATTCAGCTAATTTTCAAGCACGGTTAAGAGGCTAGGGTTTTCATGTGAATCTGCCGGAAACTTTCATTTGTTACTCTCTTAGGAGTTTGGATGGCTTGCCTTTCTTTTAGAACTTGTAAATTTCAACGTGCCGAACACGTGAGAATTATTCATGAAATTTTGATGTATGTTATATGTGTTCCTTTTAGTTGGAGATCAAAATGGCGTAAAATTCATCTTGCTCAAACAATAACTGGACAATGTATTTAGTTCAGACTGATTCCAAATTGTCGAAGTGAAAGGAGAAATTTAGCTCAATCAGTATCTCGTCCCACTAGGTTTTCACATTCTAAATATCCCATGAGATCCGTAGGCAAGAAATTTTTCTTTCTAAGTGTCGTACTTTAGTGGATCACCGAACTCAATCTTTCTATCAAAGTCGGAAGATAATCCGCAAGCTTTTCAGTATCTTGGATTATTTGAATATTTATACCCCCAGTGTCAATGAAATTGGAGTTTTCTGCTGAAAATGTTGAAGATTCTGGAAAATGCAAGCTGGAAAATACAGCTTAGTGTCCTGGAAATGCTAGATATGTTAAAGATAATCCATCAACTTCTCAATATCTTCTTGGATTCTTTGAATGCTTCTGCCTCCAATGTTAATAAAATTAGAGTTTGCTGCTAAATATGTTAAAGATTTTGGAAAATACAATTCAGTGTTCCGGAAAATGAAAGCTGGAAAATTCAGCTTAATGTCCTTCATCAGAACCTATATGTCATAACACCACGCATCCAGTCGAATGAAATACAGCTGGGTAAAAGATTTATCAATGCTTTCAGGAGCATCATCGACATAACAACACAAATATCTTTCTTGTAAGATACATTGGTAGACATTCTATCATCAAATAAGGAGCAGCTGGTTGATTAGATATATAATTTGAACGATAAGAAATTGAAGATCATCAAATTGAGTTTGTAAGATAGATGATAGTCCCACCTCCGATACAAGATTTGAAGTTACTTTGTATGCAGAAAGTTGATTTCTTTCAACTCTGTATTGTTCATCTAGAATTTGAAGATGAGTTAAAGATTAAGTGTTTGATATCCTTAAAAGTTTGATAGGATAACATTGTGTTTTAAGTGCAATTGATTGGTTTTAGATGCTTCGAACTTAAGAGAGTTTTATGTTACAGTGAGTAATCTTCGAAGAAGAAGAAAAAACTTCTTCTAAGTTGTTTTGAAAAAAGAACACAAATTCAGGTTTTGATGTCTGAAATATAATAGAAGAAGTGCAATTCGAGATTCGAGATGTTATGATCATTGATCTTTTTCAACAATCAACTTCAAAAGAATTGTCTTGGAAGAGAATGAAGCAGACTATGATTCAATGCTAAACTAATTTAAAAAGTAATGGATTATTTAATCGATGTATTTAAATCTCGATTGATGTAAAAAATACTCGTAATTAATAACTATTTGTTAATTAAAACTAATAAATCCTTTTCTAAATCTCAAATAATATATTATTTGATTTCTAAATCTCAAATAATATATCCACATAAATATATAAATTTCGAACCACATAAGGAATTAATGCACCATTTTTTATATTATTTGAGATATTGGAGAAAATTATTAAAAAACAAATAAGTTGAATATTTAAATCAATTTAATATAATGCCTAAAAAAGATTATTTGGTGTCTTATATATAATAGAGAAAGTACAATTCAATATCGTTGGAGAAGTTACCATTATTGATATGTTTCTATAATCAGTCTCAAAAAAGTTGTGGGTTTCTATAATAGTTAAATAATTTGAATGAATTGATGGGCAATATAAGATTTAGATGAATTTAAATAGTTATATCATTTAAAAAATATATTTATTTCCCATGATATCATATGCCCAATGTCATAATTTTCTTTTTTATTTCTTTCTTCTTTTTTTAATTCATTATCTTGATTTAAACCTCAAAAAATTAAAATAATAATAATAAAAGAAAGAAAAAACATTCTCATAATAGACATGATATTATGAAAAATTTTCCCTCCTTTTTTCGTTATTATTATTAATTCAAATGGATATACCTATTTAAATCCACTTAACTCTTATCTTGTCCACAAATCCATTTTAATTACAGGACTGATTTTGACTAAATTTACAATTTGACATGTAGAAACTTAATTTTAAAAAACAAAAATCATCCAAGGACTAAATTATATATCATCGTAAATATGATGACCAAAATTTTTTCAACAAAGACTTATTAGTAAAGAAAATATAATACATGGATCAAAATAAAATTTTCAAAAAACAATTATAAAGACCAAAAAGCACATCAACAAAATCCATGTTGTGAGCACACTACCTGAACATGATTTTCAAAGAGTAGAATAATGTAAGAATGCATTGACCCACTACCTGAACATTAAGAGTTGGAGAGTCTTACCACATAAGGGTAAGAAGAATGTACTAACCAATAGGGCAAAGTACATGGTAGGTGATGAGTTGGTAGGTCACTCCAACACCAACCCCACCTTTCTTCTCAAATCCTTCTTCATGTTCCTAAAAGAGGATGATGGGGGCCAATGATGGGGGCCAGTGGACCAATCGGCAGCCAATAGGTAAGATCTTCCATGTCTGATGACTATGGACTTTAGAATGATCAAATGACTAGTAGGCATCAGGTAGCAAATAGGTGAGTTTCAGTGCAAATTCAGCAAGGAAACAAATCTCAATCAAATTACTCAACCTGTAATCCAATTTGGTCAAGATCTTATAGACCATAAAATAATGAAAACAAATCCAAACAAATATCAACGTTTCAATAATAAGAAGGAAAAAGAAGAAGAGAGCAATGGATTAACAGTCTAAAAGCTTATAGAATCATTTCTATTGAATGATGCTTCAAAAGTTTGTATGGCAGATCATAGCAATTATTCAACTAGATTGCCTTGTACCCATGAACCATGGGGTAATGATAATAAAGTTGAAAACTTCAAGTCTGTATATGATACCCTTTTGGCTTTAAAAAAAAAAAAACAAAACAAACTTTAAAATCCTTTCTAAAGTTCTCCCATCTAAGAAGAATCTTTCTTGCAATCTAAGGTGTGGAGACTACCTGCTTTAACCCTCTTAAAAACTCAGGTCTCCTGTATCTCCATACCGTCAATGGCAGTTTATTTGTAGGGATATCCTTCATATTCTTTAATGTCCTTTTATTTACCAAATATTGGTGTTTTTGTAAAATACTCTATGCTGCAACTACTCCAGCAAAAAATAACAGAGGAGAGGAGCAGGGTGAAACAGAGCACTCTTTTTCTTCCCAGCGTCAGACCCACATTTCTCCTTGATATCTTCAATTCTGATATAATCGTCGCGACACTCTGGACTGCAAAATGCTATTTCACCCCTGCAAACAAGGAACCATTTCTGTTTTAGTAGTGGAAAATGAGTAATATATGAGATATGAGAATGAGGAAATTTTATCCCCAAAAATCTCAAGGCTCGAGTTGAATATCCCAACAAAGCCTTCCCAAAAGAATCAGGACCATATGCAGAAGCAAACCAGAATTATTTGGACCTTCTACTACAGTATAATTCTCAAATTGAAGTGAAACGTAGTTACTTAAATTTAGGGAACAGAATAACCAAAACTTCTGCATCATGAAGACAGCAATCCAAATTTCGCTGACTAATAGCCGTAACACATCCCATGGCATGACTATTACACAGTTTCAAGTCCTACGGTGTAGGGATAAAGAGCCATCAAGGAGCTTTTGCTGAGATTATTTTAATTTCTGATAATAAAAACCCATGTATATAGTTGACAAGATATCAATGCTTCATTTGATCACCAAGACGGCAGATAATTGTTTCTTACTTAAGAACAAGCTGTTATTGACTGTTTTCTAATTTTCACCAAGTTGCAATTGACAGTGTTCAATGAATTATAAATCTGTCAACCTAATCCTAAAAATGCTTATCTTCCTCCAGAAGGAAAGATCTCCTAGTCAATGCTAACATGAAGCATGTCTGGCATGCTTCATTGAATACAGAAATAAATTAATGACCAGTAATAATTATACTAAGATAAGCATCATCTCCATGTCAGGAAACTTCAAGAGGAGAGGAACAGCTCAGCCCTGACAACTTACATCAAATACTCGATAATTAACTTTCCAAACTTAAAAAGGACAGAAAAGCTTACACAGAAAAACTGCTTGTTGCCACTAATAACAATAAATGAGAAGTTTTTTTTTTTTTTTTTTTTTTTTTTTTGTCCTAGGAAAACTGAGGAGAAAACACCTTTTGCTGTGACAACCCAGACAGACACTCAGATATAGACTTTCCAAACTTGCAAGGGAGAAAACAGCTTAGCCACATAGAAACTGCTCATTGGCACTAACAATCAATAAGCAGTGTTTTTGTCCTAAGAGATTTACGAGGAGTAAACAGCTTAGCACCAACAAGTTGTACAAGATAATATTGGTACCAAGTTCTCTAAAGATGAAACAAGAACCAAGGGACTTCTGTAAGGCAAAAGCACTTACCCACAAAGGCTCCTACTCAAGCCAAGATCATAAGAAATTTATCATTGCATCAAAATAATGGCTTCAATAAAAGATTTTTCGGTTGTTTATGCAAGTAATGGACGTAAGATGAAAACCTTCCTACCCAGACTCTGGTTTTATGTCCTCATCATTCTTGACAACCATAATCGACTTGGACAACCGCCAAAAAGGGCATTTCTTCTGCTCGGGTATTAGTTGGCCCTATTTTTATGGGATTGTCTCCTTAACTAAAATAGAGAAGTGCATCCTTCTTACTTTATACCCATTTCATACACAATTCTGGTGTATATAATCTTTTAGAGGTAACTTAATAAGACAAAGTCCACTAAAAACATCATTGCTTTATTTTATCATTTGACCTAATAATGAAACTTATGCTGTGTCACATTCGAACTCATCAGATTGCAATGTTCTATTTCAACATTTTGTCATAGTATATATGAAAATGAAAGACAAAATGAGATTGTAGAGTTCCATTTCAAAAATTCAGCAAAGTACAAATTCTTACATGAATTGAAAGAACATCACTAATAAACAATTCTTTCAGAATTCATAAATGCAGCCTAAAATATATGAAATTCAGGAAGACAATGGAACCAGAAATAAATGCTGAATAAACCATCTCAAATCAAAATTTCTGAGATAAGGTACATTGATCCAAATCACTAATTTTGAAAGGACTGATATTAAATATACAAAGATAGAGTTGACTTATATTAAAACACACAACGAAGCAGCTAAAATTGAACTTGTTTAAACCAGTCAAGTTTATAGCCTCACGTGTCCGAAAGATAGAACAAGTTCAATTAGTGTTCCAACTGTAAAACATCTTTGATCGATAGTACGATAATATTTACCTTTTCTAGACCACGTGTTTTGCGGAATAAAGAATCAAGAATCCAAACATAAATATGTTCTGCATAAATGGAACATTTATCTGATTGTATGGAATACCTGATCGATTGTACAATCGCATAAACTATCTCGTGTCCACATTTTCCATGACAAAATAATCGTCTTCTGAATAGGTGGAAGTTTGTCAGTCAAAACAGGATGGACATACTACTTGAATTACAATGCAATCATGACTGAAAGAACATGAGTAAGCAAGATTTTGTCCAAACACTGATTTTCCTCTGAATCCACTGACTGTTAAGCCATCAACATCTATTAATCCATTGCCAATCAAGAACTTGTATTTTCCAAACAACAAAATTTCATAACAATTCAAAGTCAAGCAACAATCCATACACAAGAAACATCACCAATCAATCAGAATTTACACAATTCAATCGTCACATGCAATTCCAAACAAGTAATTAAACACTAAAATAAAACCAGGAAAGAAATCATTTATGTACCTGTACATGAAAATGTCCCGCCCCTGAAGCTGCTTGTTGCAGAGACAGCAAAAACTCAGGAAATCCTTGCTCCAAAACTCCCTCCTTGCAGCAGCAGCAACATCCATGGGAGGCCTCACCGGTGGTGGAGCAGCATAAACCAGTCCAGAACCAACATGAAATCCACCCCCAGAATCAATACAAAACTTACAAACCTTATCACCATAATAAACAGTCTCCCTATTCACATTATTCCCCTCATGAGAAATCACACAAGTATAACTCTCATCATTCTCATCAACAACAACATCGCCACCATCACCATCGTTATCAAAATTGAATACCCCCATACCTCCTTCTTTGAAATGAGAAGCAGGTTTCTTCAAAGAAACAATTGGGACCGGATTGGATCTTAGTGACAAATCCAAGTCAGAAAATTTATCTGACTCATCCATAGCAGCAACTATACCTAACCCAACAGCATCACCATTCTCAAAATTCCTTGGTGATTTGTTGGCCATTGAAAACGTTTCGGTTAAGCTTGAAAACAAAGACAGACTCACTCTTGGTCTCTTTTTCTCCATTTTCAGACCAAACTGAGACATGGGCAACTCTCAAATCTTGAATTCTTGAAAATTCAAGACAAGGGTTTGCTGTTATAAAGAGAAAGAGAGGGTTTTGAAGTGTTTACAAGTGTATCTGACATGGAAGAAACACTTAAATGGATAGTTATTAATTACAACAACTAAGAGATTATAGAGAGAGAAACAACAGCTAAATTTAGAGAAGTGAAGCGCAAGACAGAGAGATTCTTTGAAGCTATATTTATGGAGCAGATTTTCTAGAGAGAGAGAGACAGAGCTCTCTACTTCCCTTCTATAGAGAGAGGCTTTAACGCCTGTGGTTTTCAGTGCAGAGGGGAATATAAACAATTTATGGTAATAATTATTTAATTAAATTATAATTAGTCATTATTATTTTTTGTCTGTACTGAGACAACAAATTATTAGTCACTGATTATTGCTTTTTGGTCCTCCTAATCTCTTTTTTCTCTAATTTGACCCTTAATATTTTTCATTATTACTGTAATTATTTCTTCATTCATCTTTTTCCTTTCTATTTTACTTAATTAATTATCAATATTTTTTATTTATCTATTAAAATACCAGTGCAAAATATTAGTATGTAGGCGCGCTAAATATACACTTCTTACATCCATATACATTTCGAGACTCACTATTATTACTTTTTTGTCCTCCTAATCCCTTTATTTTTTTTCTTCTAATTTGCCCCTTAATTTATTTCATTATTATTGTAATTGTTTCTTCATCCATCCTTTTCCTTTCTGTTTCACTTAATTAAGCATCAATATTTCTTTATTATATAAAAATATAGGTGCAAAATACTAGTGTATAAATAGGTTAACTACACACCAAACAAGTAAATACAAACGTTTTACATTCATATGTATTTAGATGGATTCTTATCGCATTTATATTGGAGTTAAAATTTAATATCTCTGTAAATATGGCTAATCGGGTCTAGATTCTTATCGCATTTACATTAGAGTTAGAATTTAATATCTTTGTAAATATGGTTAATCGGATATAGATACAACACTTCTATTTTGAGATCTAAATTTTAGTATAATCCTTGCCATTTGGACGAAACTTTCTGAAAAAAAAAAAAAAAAAACCCTTTTCTTCATTTTTCAAGAAGAAACTTCTTTTCTTTTTTCATGTTTTATTAAAGTTAAAGTTTCAAAAATTGAAGTATTCAATTTTTCTTTTCCATAAATGCATATCATCGACAAAGTGCATTGGTTAATTAACTAAAAAAATTCATCAAAATAGCTTATAGTTGGTTAATTTTCAGAGAAAAATTTATGTGCATTTTATATTTGTTAATTTTCAGTGTGAATTGATGAGCAAAATGGACTTCCATTGACCTTGTCTTACCTAATCCACAAAACTCCATAAATGATGTTATTTGTTAGTAATTTCATGAGTCAGTCAATATACCTTGACAGGACATCTTATCAATAATTCTATACACTTCGCTATCTTTTGAAATTCTGCCATTATTTATTTGTTTTTTTCTTCTTTTTTTTATTTTTAATTGATTTTAACCTTTAGCATTTTTTCAACAATAATAGTGATATATATGATGGTGACAAATAAACCATAATTAAACAAAGATGAAATAGAGAAGCCACATTGGATTTAAATTTTTTAAAAAATATTTAATATTGATGATATTTTCATATCATTCTCAGATCATATTCATTTGTATCGAGATTAAATTTTTCCTCAACCATATGTTAGACAAAACTATTAATAATGGAGATAAATTCCACTGCCATTCTAGCAACGAAAGAGAAAGAAAAATTTCAGGTCAATGCATTGTATTTCTTGCTGGCTGTGGTGTTTATATCAAGCAATTACGAGAAGAAAATTATGCTTTCAATCCTAAACATAAGTTACATGGCCCCACAATCCTGAATAAAAAATAAACAAACGTTTTTTTCTTTTTTTTCTTTTTTTACGAATGAGGTTATTGTTAGATTAATTTTCTTATACCGAAATTAAGTTTTTTTTTTTAATTGGGTTTTAAATTAGACATTTATATCGAACTAACAAATTAATAAAAAAATATTTCTTGCAACTTTTAAAAAGATGGAAATTTGAATAATAATATAGAAAATAAATCAGCTTCTAAATATGTGTGGATATTAAAACTAAAAAAATAAAAAACATGTATAAGTAGGCATAATCTAACAATTGTTTATTTAATAGCTTTTTTCAATAAAATAGGTTCGAGTATTAATAACTTCGGTTTATTTAATTATTTTATCATAGACAAGAGTTATCTTCTATTGTATAGTCTAAGGTCCAATTCGAATCGGCTCTGATTCATTAAGAAAAAATATTTAAAGGAATTATATGTGGAGCAATTAGGTATAAATTGATATCAACTCTTCAAAATTTAGTGCTTCTTCATAAACTAAAAAACCATGTGGAACTACTAACCATTTATGCATTTATAGTATTGAAAGAATACATTAAAATACTCCATATATCTATATTAATTTCGTTTTCATTTTAGTTCAGATCAAGCTTTAACCTGTTGAATTATTGTTCAATTTTTTTATGAAATCAGAAATTTAACAAACTAAATTTTTGATGGAGTATAGAAAAAGTCATACATGCATTTTTAAAAAAATAAATTTAATAATAATCCCTTTTTGGTGGGATTTATTTTTTGGATACAGATTTTTATTTCTTTACCTATAAGAAAATTAGGTAAGTAAAATCCCCTTTTTAGTGTTGGCAGCTGGATCCTATTGTAGTAAGTAATGGACAGTAGAGTTTGCTCTTTGTTAATGATTTTGTGTCCTCCAAATTCGTTACATGATTTGTTTTTTAAGAGATATGGATGTTTTTTTCCTTTGATGGTAAAAATATATATTTTTTCATCAAGATATTGCTATTTTAATGTGTAATTAGTGTATGCAGTAGACTTTAATAAATTTTTATAAATATTGAATTTAAAATTTAAATTTAAAAAATTCAAAAAGAAAATAACTATTTTTTTTAACACAAACCCAATTCTTAAAATTATTCATATAGATACTTTAAATACCAACTCGACGTAGATACGATGAAATTAACTCTTTTTTTTTCTTTTTTTATATTTTACAAATAATGAGGTATTTTTTAGTTTTATTAATCGAAATTAATTTTATTATTTTGTGAACTAAGTCAACATCATAACGTGCTTAACTTATGATTAATCATTAAATTATTTCTTAAACTAAATTAGCTTAAATTTGATATCTCTAAAAAATAACGTGCATTATTTTATACCTTAGTTTGTTTGTATACACAAAAATAAACAAAGCAATTAAAAGTTGTTTAACCCACATAGATTTCCCTAGTAATCAATACGGCCAAGTATCAATGATTAATTAATTTAGCAGGTGCCCCTGTAACATTAATTGTATTTAAAAAAGAATTAATAAATTCTTCTGACTATTAATTTCAAATTTTGGATTTAAAAAGTTAAAAAACAAGAGTAAATGTTTTTTTAGCATCAAATCAATTTCTTAAAATTATTTAAATAGATATTCTAAACATCAACTCCAACGTATATACGATGAAATTAATATTTTTTTGCTAACGTTTACAAACAATAAAATATTTTAAAATCAATTTTTACATTGATCAAAATTAAATTCATCATTTTTAAAACTAAATTAATATCAAAACTCATTTAGTTTTTATTTCAATTATTGAACTGTCTTTTAGGCTAAATCAATTCATAAAAAAAAATTATAATTAATTATCTATGAATACGAAAATATCTATGCCTCTATTATTTCAATGACAGAATAATCATGGCCCGGCTAACGTGCATTGTTTTATACCTTAGTTTGTTTGTATACACAAAAATAAACAAAGAAATTAAAACTTGTTAAACCCACATAGATTTTCTTAGTAATCAACATTGCCTAATATTAATGATTAATTAATTTAGTATGTGGCCATGTAACATCAATAGTATGCCGTATGAACTATTTTATTTGTGATGTGACCCTTGACAAGAAAAGTGGTCACAGCATCCTCTTTGTGGGACTTTTGAGGAGCAAATGGAGAAAAAGCACTCACCTTTTTGCTAGCCAATCATTAAGAAAGTTGCTTAATTTCTAGTGCGTGATTGGAAAGATATAGAAATCTCTCTCGATGCTTTCTTCGGTTTCAAATTCCAAGAACATGCCACATGCACTTGGACAAGCTAACAATGAACTACATGGAGACTTGAAAGAAAGTTCTCACTTCATCGTGGGCATCCACTACTTTGTTTGTGAAATTCTCGACAAACTTCAAGAAAATTTCAAGAAAATTCCCGACTATATTGATAGTCTTCGGTACAGTTTTATATGGCGTAAGTTGAAAAATTAACCTCAATCGTTGTCGTGAATCATAATTTATTATAATATTAAAATAATAATGATAGAATATTTTAAAATTATCACATAACAATCATTATATAACACAATAATTATTATTTAAAATTATATTTCTGAGTGATTCTCAGACAAAATTTATTTTAATTAGATTTAAAAAAATTTCAAAAGTTCTCAATCAAATCATATTCATATTCGTCAATAAATTCTTTTAAATCTGTTTTTATATTTTTTTTAAAGGAAATTAAAAGCTAAAGATTTGTGAATAGTTTTGAAGGAAAACAGAATTGATAAATTTTAAATATTTTAAAGATTCAATTGAAATAAGGAAAAGAGAAGAACAAATGAAGACTGTATCGAAAGATATATATGGTTAGGGGACTGTTTTGAAGTTCTCCTAAATTTATCATTCGGGCATCCGGTTGCACCATCTACAAAAAATATTCTAAACTTCTAAAGCCTTTTTTTTATATATAGAATAAATTATAAATTAATCCCTCTTGTTTTAAAAAATAAATTAATTAGTCCATCTCATTTCAAAAATTATTATTTAATCATTTAATCAATGTTGAACATGCTTAATTTAATATTATTTTTATTTCATAAAATTTTTAATTTTCTCATCAATCTTTCTATAATTTTTTCTTTTTCTATTTCTTGAAATAAAAAATCAAAATAAAAACCTACCTTCCTCTTATTTTATACATCGAAAAAAAACATCAAATTTATTTTATGTACAAATCATCAGCTTCCAACATTGCCCAAAGCATACCAATGGGTGTTCATTTTCCTTTCTCTTGTAGTGGGAAAATTATGATTTATATGAGACTAAATGATTTTATGAATTATACCAATTCAAAATTTCATTGGTATTCTTACAAAAGCAAGAATTGCATGTTTCTTTTTCGCAAAAAAATAAAAAATAAACTTTAATAGATAATACAAAAATTAGAAATTATAAGTATGAATCTTTTTGTATCTCTAAAATATCTCAAACTCAAAAATTTAGTTTGATCCGTTGTTGTTCGATGGGATGTATAAGACATACACAACTATCTGAAAAAATTTCTGTGTTTATAAAGATTCGATATCTAGATAACTTATTTAAACTACTAGAATGCATTTTGCTCAAATCAATTTTCTTAAGTTATAAGTGTGAATCTTGACAAATATATAATTAATCAAAAAAAAAAAAAACAATATATATACAGTCCGAGTCTCAGTGAAAAAAAAAACATCATTTTCGACGTAGGAGCAGTGGGATCTTTCAGATTTAAGCGTGAAAGGAAAACGCAACCAACTCAAAAATTCATTGGTATTCTTTCAAAATCAAGAATTGCATGTTTCTTTTTCCCAAAAAAATGAAGAAGATAATTTAATGGATAATAAGAAAATTAGAAATTACAAAAAGATAGTTAATCTAAAAAAAAACTATATATATATATATATATATATTCTGAGTCTCAGAAAAAAAAATCCATCATTCAAACGTCACCTATTTTTGTAACCGAAAGAAAGGAATCCACCATTTATTGACCATCTCATTAATAAATTACAAAGAACAAGAAAGCCATGATACTAATTAATGAACAATAAATACATTTATTCAATTTTTCACTTATAAATACCCAAGTATGAGATTCCTAGTGCTGCACTCTTAACATGAAATGCTCTTTCATTTTTTGTGCACTGTTTTTCCTTATTTTCTCATGTGGTAAGTTCACTACCTTCTCTCCTTTACTTGGCTATTTTTTGTTTTTAATGGTATCCTTGTTTTTTTTTGCAAAATATTTTAGCACTATAATCTTTGATTTTGATTCTGTAGTTTATCCTATGATATATGTGATTGAGAAATTCTTTTTTTATTTATTTCAAATATACTAAAACCATAATGCATGCATGCAAAGGAAAACGATTTTTTTTTTTTTTAAAGTGTTGTTCTCTTTCTTTTTCTTTTTTCTTTTTTGTTGCTTTTTTCATGGTATCCTTAATTTTTTTTTTACAAAATATTTTAGTACTATATTTTGTTTATTTAGTTTATCCTATGATATATGTGATTGAGAATTTCTTTTCTAAGATTTATTTTTAGTTCAAATCTACTAAAATCACAATGCATGCAAGGTAAAATGATAAAAAAAAAAAAAAAGGTGCTGTTTTCTCTTGCTTTTTTTTCTTTTTTGGTATGGTATCTTAATTTTTTTTGCGAAATATTTTAGCTCGTTCTTGATTTGATTAGATAGTTTATCTATCCTACAATATATGTGATTGAGAAATTCTTTTTAAGATTTATTTCTAGTTCAAATCTACTAAAATCACAATGCATGCAAAGCAAAATGATAAAAAAAAAAAAAAAAAGTCGTTTTCTCTTGTTTTTTTTTTTTTTTTATGGTATCTTTATTTTTTTGCAAAATATTTTAGCTTGTTCTTGGATTAGTTTATGATATATGTGATTGAGAAATTCTTTCTTAAGATTTATTTTTTGTTCAACTCTACTAAAATCACAATGCATGCAAAGCAAAATAATCAAAATTAATAGCATTCCTCTTTTTTAATTTTGGTTAACAGATATGTTTTTCGAGACACAATCATGCAGCTATCCAATTATTGAAATCTCCAAGTGCTCAAAGTTCTTGTGTGATGATGGCTGCCATAGGGAGCATGGGAAGAGTACAAGTGGAACATGCCTAAATATTCATGATTGTTGCTGTGAATCAATTAAAAATTGAATGATGGGAGGTGCACTTTGTATAGCATTTGCCTGTTTGAATAAAAAAAGAAAAAATTACAGCTATATGTTATATTTATGTGGAGTAAATTATAAATTAGTCCCTCTAATTTGAGAAATGAATTAACTAATCCCTCATTGTTAAAAAATTAATTAAAACAAGAGGGATTATTAATCTGTTTCTTGAAACTAGACAATTGGATACTCAAGCCTTCAAGCACGTAGCTCTTCAATTTTATTTTTTTTGGCTCAGCATCTAAAATTTTAGTTTTAGACTAATTCCATGAGGGCACATCAGTCTTTGGATTGATGGAACAACTTATCTTGTTTTGTAAAAAAGAGATCCTATTTCTTGCAATTTTATAAAATTTAGAAAGGGGTTTTATTCAATTTGGTCCATGTACTCTTCTATTTTTATTTTATTTATTTATTGTAGCATCTTAATTTTCATGTTGATTTATACTCTTTATCTGTTATGAAAAGGTCCCCTTGTCATTGCGTCTCTAGTTTGTATCCTACATGGCACGTTTATTGTTAGAGTATCTCTTCCATATATAAAATTATGTAAAAAAAAAAAAAAACCAAGCATGTGAAAAAATTAAGTTATTGTAATTAATTAGGATCGTTAAGGTTATTATTTTTAAGTTCACAAAAAGATGTCACATAAGCATACGAACTAATGAGGTGTAAGTGTAGGAATCCAATCCACACAAAATATAGGATAGATGAACTCAATTACAAAAAAAGATTAGTAGACTCTAATAAAAAAAATATTGAAAGAGTACCTCTAATTATTTTCATCTATCATCTTCTCTTCTAAAAAAATTTTAGTGTTTGGTATTTTGACTTGAAATTTTGCAAATAGGCTAGAAAATATTCAATCTATTTCGTAGACAAATTCTAAAAATTTTCAAAATAAAAAACTATATATATATATATTTATTTTTTGAACATTAATAATAAAAAAATAAAGAAAAATAGAAAATAACTCTGAAATGATCTCAAATTTTTTAAAAACCTCGGAATGATTTTCATTGTGAAATTATTTTTGCGATCATTATTTTTTGAAATAAATGACAAAAAATTAAAAAATAAGCTATTTTTTTTTAAAAAAAATTCAGAAATCTTCACATTAATAAAAAAGTTTAAAAACTCAGTTTCAAATGATTTATAAAAAATTTCAGGAATTCAATTTTAAACCACTTAGAGTTCAAAAGTGGTTAGATTTTTTAAACCCATAATAATTGTACCCAAAAGATTTCAAAAACAGAGTCTAAGTCCAAGCCTTGTAGTCCAATGAAGACAGAATTTCATTCGGATTTTAAAAGAGAAAGTGACAGAACTATAGTCAATTATACCTTCAACGCCCCTGCGATAAATGAGCCCTTCAAAGTTCAAACAAACCTTACTTCAATCAAATTTTTTTAAAGACATTTTCACCTAACGGTGGTGTGCCGATTAATTGTTTTAATAAAATAAGATTTGAGTTTTAATAATTTTAAATTGTTTTAATGTTTAATTAATAACAAAAATTATATTTTATTATGTAGCCTAAAAAACCATAAGCCTTCGATAAATTGGAAAAAAAAACACATTGTTATGGAATTCAAACTTTTAACGGATTATACATAATAATAAACTTCACTCTACATTTTTGGTGTTCTAGACTGAACGAAATCTAATTTGAATATTATGATTAATTTAGGGGTCAATAACTCAATTTATTTATATATAATAATATAATTCTCTAATCAATTTTATATTTCTAATTAAATTAATTTTGTTCTTAAATATATATTAAATGTCCAATATATCATTCTTGCAAGATTTTCATATTAAACTATTAGAGTTAGTCACACAATTTGCATATAAAAACCTTATATTTAACTAATTTGTAGAGATATTTAAAAAAAAAACTTAGTTTTTTGCAAACCACGTCAATAAATTAACTCAATTAAAGGTATAAGAACAAATTGGAAATTTACATTTTTATAGAATGATAAATCAAACTACTAACTCTTAATTTTGAACGATAAAACATAATTGTCAAACTCAATCTAACCTAAATAGTTGATTTGAGATGAAAGCCGATTTAGGTTTTTAATTTAGCAGGATAAGCCAATGGTCATAAGCTATCCCAAAAAAAAAAAAAAATCAAAAAATCTTTGGATTGTATATATTTTTACTCAAAAAATGAAAACAAAAAAACAAATCTATAGCAAAACACTAGTTCGGGGGATAATTATTACTAATTAATAATTATCACTCCCCTTAATTAATTAGTAATAATTATCCTCTCCAAAGGGTGATTTCTGCACTTATCGCCCATTCACCAAACACAACGTTAAGAGAAAAAATATCATGGAAAGATTTATATTTTAAAAAATTAATTATTTAATTATTTTTGTTCAGTTTATATTCTTTTTTAATTAATTTATTTTTTTATTAGAATAAAATAGATATGATGGAAAGGTTTATGAGAAAAAATATTTTTAGAATAAAATAATGGTAAATTAAGCACGATCAACAACGATCAATTGACTAAATAATAAAATTTTGAACCAAAATAAACTTTTTAATTTTTTTTTAAAATAGAAGGACTAATTTATAATTTACTCATAGAGATCCCTTCTCTCGTTACTTTGAGCCTATTAAAATTAACATTGATGGCTCCCTGAATTTGATTTCAATTTCTTATTTAATAATCCTTTTTTATTTTCTTGAATTTGTCTCCAAGGCATTCACTTGAGTGCCACTCCTAACAAATGAATGTATGTATATTTTGGATAATTTATTTATGCACAAATGCATGCATTTATATTATTGTTCACTAGTATTTTTTAAAATAAGGTATTTTAAAATCTTTTTTTTTCTAAAATAAAGTATTTTAAAACTTTTTTTTACCAAACTAATGCATACTTTTTTGCCGTATAAGTTTTATACTTAATTAAAACAAAATTCTTAATTTTCTTTAAAAAATTTACCTATCAAGGGCTTCTTGTTTTTTGTCTTGATCTTTGTTTCCCCAAGTGAGAGATTATCAATTTCAAACCTGCCTTTTATTTTAATTAGCCAATGAATTTATTTTATGAAAATTGTATTAAATAAAAAATGACATGGAAAGCATAGTGTTATATGGCAAATATGATTTAAAAAAAAATCCTGATTTTTGAAAAAAGGATTTTAAAAATATCCTGCTTTGAAAAAAAAAAAAACTCATTTTTCACTAAGCACAAAAGATGACACATTTGTCCAAATTTACTACGCCAAACACGTGTAACTTCTTTTCTTTTATTTTTTTTCACGCACAAAAAATTCAAAAAATGTTTATTATAAAACAATGGGTTGGTTTTTTCCATATGGATGAAACCATCCCTCCAACAATTAAAGAAAATAAAACAATGGAGGAAATCGAATCTTAATTCAGATTAACGAAATCTATGTATTTAATGCATATGATATCTATTTAATATTTAATATTTTTTGATAAGTGAATTTTATAAAATAATCATGTATAATTAACGTTATTATTTAATTAAAAAAATCTTAACTTCGATTGATGAAATCTCTTTAATAATTATGTACAATTATATTTACTATTAATACAACTAGCTAGATTTCTTTTTCAGTTAAGAAAATCTTAACGAAATCTGTTTATTTAATGCATAAGATATTTATCTAATATTTAATATTTTTTTCGATAAGTGAATTCTATAAAACAATTATCATTATTCTTTAATTAACTAATTCACATTAATATTGTTAATTACGAGGGATGGATGCACTAAAACAATTTTCAAATCTTTGGCTATAAATATTGATACCACTCAACACCAAAACTCATAAAACTAGACAATATTCTTGCTTATTAGAGATGAAGAACCTATCTTTCTTCACCATTTTCTTCATGCTTGCCATGGTCGTCTTCTCGTTTGGTAATTTTCTTCTACCCTTTTGTCTTCTTGCTCCTTGCAATTCGTATCATATATTTTTTTTTATTGTATTGACTCTTACCTATTTGCCTTGGATAATTAATATTAGGATCAAAGGGAGGAGAAGCACAGAATTGTGCTTACCCTGCAATTGAAATTGAGAATTGCTCGAAGGTGGCATGTGTTCAAGAGTGCGTAGACAAATATGGAGCAAGCATCAATGGTGCTTGCATTGATGATCATAGTTGCTGTTGCAGAGTAACTTCATAGCGAGAGATTTCTGCAGTTTGATCTGAGCTTAAATTCTATTGAATCAGGAGCATGAGGACTGCCTTTTCTATTGAATAAAAATGTTATTGTTGAAGGGTATTTAATTTCATTTTATTCTCAAGAAAAATGTCTCTTTTTAGCTTATAATTATTTTTTTTTCTTTTGAGGAATCAGTAAAAAAATATTACTAAAACAAAAATATAATACCAGTAGAAAATAATGGTATTTTTTCGTATTTGTAACTATATGTAATCCATTTTAATATTTCTACTAATTGTTGATGAAATGCAATCATTTTTTCATGATATGTTGAAAGAGAGTGTAATTTAAGTTTGATAATTTAATAAAAGGTTATGACATATTATAGTTTAATCCTTTATGTTTGAAAACCTATAACTTAGTCCTTGACTTATTTGAGCATTGTCTTTTAAGACATGTTTTGTTTTTTATCCTTAATCCAAAGCGTCCCATTTTTCAATTCATCAGAAAAGAACCTACTACGAATTGACGTTTCAAAAGACAACAATCGCAAAAGTTAAGGAATCAAGTTAGCACTTTTTACATAAGGACTAAATTATAATTTTATAAAAAAAGGGACTAAAAGTAATTCACTGAAAAAGTAAAGCAAAGATGACAAGGAAAATTGCAAAAACCAGGACCAAAACCTGTCTATCAGAAACAAACGGTATTCTGTGTCTCTGTATTTTGGAGATTATTCAAAGAAGGGTACGAAATGGAAACAAAAACAGTAATAGCAGCAACAGCATGTCATGCTCAACTTCTTGGGTCTCTTAAACCTAAGCGTTTTGCTGTTTTTTCTATCAAAAGAGACCCAAAAAAGCGAGCTTTAGCTCAGAAGGTATTATTTTTCTCACAAATCTTTCTATGGAAATTTCATATGGGTTTGATTCTTGTTTGATCACATTAGATTTAACTCTTTATCATTTTTTTCTCTCTCTTTATTCTTCCAATCCCCTTAGAAGGCAGGAACTTTATTTGAATGAGAACTTAAAAAAAAAAAAAAAAAAAGAACCCCAGTTTTGCTTTTAATATTAGTGGGATTTTGATAATTCTGTGTGAGTCACAGTTTTGATGTTAGTTTATGGTAATCGATGCTAGAATTTATGCTTTGAGTTTCTTGAAAAGGTCAGAACTTTTTGTTAAATAGCTTTAGTTTGAAGGCTTGTGGAGGAAATTTAAATTTTTGAGCATATTTTTATTGAAGTTTGCTTATTGCTTTGTACAGATGATATGGGAATGGAAGAGGGATCAGGGTGTTTGTGGAAAGGGAACTTATGTGGATTGTGCATCGTTAATACAGTCATTGTGTAAGAAAAGAAGGGCTCATCTAGTTGAGGAGCTTTTCCTAGAGTTGAAAAGTGAAGGATTTTTACCAGACAACTCTACCCTTTCATCTATGATGCTTTGTTATGCTGATAGTGGCCTTTTACCTCAAGCACAGGCAATATGGGAGGAGATGTTGTATAGTTCTTTTGTGCCTAGTGTTCGGGTTGTTTCAGAATTAATTGACATTTATGCAAGGAGTGGACTTTTTGACGAAGTAATCAAAATGCTTGATCAGTTGAGTTCTTCAAGAACTTTTGACTTTTTACCTCAGGTTTACTCACTAGCTATCTCTTGCTTTGGAAAGGGTGGTCAACTTGAGTTGATGGAGCATACGTTGAAGAAGATGGTCTCGAGGGGTTTCCTGGTAGACTCTGCCACTGGGAATGCATTTGTTATGTATTATAGTCGTCATGGTTCTTTAGCAGAGATGGAAGCTGCTTATGACCGCCTTAAAAGGTCTAGACTCCTCATAGAGAAAGAAGGAATCAGAGCCATGTCATTTGCATATATAAAGGAAAGAAAATTTTACAGGCTAGGTGAGTTCCTAAGGGGCGTGGGCCTTGGTAGGAACAATGTGGGAAATCTTTTATGGAACCTTCTTCTTCTATCTTATGCTGCTAACTTTAAGATGAAGACTTTGCAGAGGGAATTTCTGAAGATGTTGGAAGCTGGTTTTCGTCCTGATCTTACTACATTTAATGTAAGAGCTCTGGCTTTTTCAAAAATGTCTTTGTTGTGGGATCTCCATCTTAGCCTTGAACATATGAGACATGATAAGATTGCTCCTGATCTTGTGACTTATGGTTGTGTTGTTGATGCATACTTGGATAGAAGATTGGTTAGAAACTTGGAATTTGCTTTCAGGAAGATGCAGTTGGATAACTCTCCAGTGTTATCAACAGATCCCTTTGTGTTTGATGTTTTCGGGAAAGGGGATTTCCATTCAAGCTCAGAGGCATTTATGGAGTTTAAGAGGCAAAGGAAGTGGACTTACAGAGAGCTCATTGGAATATATCTCAGGAAACAGCATAGAAGTAAACATATCTTTTGGAACTACTGACTTTTGGCTTTATGTTACTGTGTAGAATCCTGATTGGTTTGACTGAAAACTGAAGTATGCTCATATAGAATTCTTTTAGGTTCTTAGAGTTTGGACTCAATATGTAACCTGGAGCTATTAATTTGTCTTTTTGGTGGAAAAGGTGGTGGTTTGCTCCTTAGATGTCTATTCTGCTTAATAGCAATGCCATGTCTGATGATTGGTTTAATTGTCCATAAGGTGTCCTCTCTCATATTAAATCCCAGAATGTTTGTCAAATCTTGCCGATCTAGTGATGGGTGCCCCTTCGGAATATTAAGGCGAAACTGGACATGGTTGAGATATAACTGGTCATTGAAATACTATAGAATTCTGAATAAATGCTGTTGGATTTGGCTGTATTGGGTCAAATAATATCTTAACTGGAAACCAATATCAGCTTTAAAACAAGTTTGGTGTTCCAAGAGCTACAAAAGAACGTAAAACAAGCTTCAGGCAATGTCGAATGCCAAATTTATCTATCTTTGCTACAATTAAGTGTTTCTCAATCGTGCTTTATGTTCTCCCTCCAGAAGATGGTGTGCTTGTGTGGCTTCTTGAGCTGTCATATCCAGATTGTATCTCGCTGTGACTCATCACATCCTGACAACAGATCAGAAATAAATGAATTATAAAGCTTGCGGAGGTTGCAACCTGTAAGATCTGAGATGCTATGAAATTAGTAAATGCTATCCTTAGAAAGATTGAAGTTTGCACAAGCAGTTTTTTTGTCTTCTGAGTTAAAAAAAAAAAAATTTGGAGCATGTAAAACTCACTTGAACTGAGGAACATTGGCTCTGATAAGGCGAGCTTCCTGTGCTGCCCCCAAGCATGATGCTATGCATGTTTTTTTCAGCAAGTTCTCTCAATCTGTTTAGCTCTGGTAGTATGACTCGTCCAAGATCTGGTCTATCTTTTCGCCTGAGTTCTGCACATTGAAGAGCTAACTTGGCGAAACTCATAGCTTCCTCAATGGGCCAGTCTGGAACGGCTGGGTCAAGCATCTCTTCAAAAGTTCCTTTCTCAATGGCCCTCTCAACATGATGAGTTAAACCCATAGGTGGCTTGGCTGTTATAATTTGTAGAAGCAGGATACCAAATGAGTAAATATCGGATTTTATCCCTAGCATTCCAGTCTGCTGATACTCTGGGTCAATATAACAGAATGTTCCAGCTGTTGATGTCATGCGATATTGAGTAACTGTGTCGGCTACTGATGGAGGGACAAGCCTGGCCAAACCAACGTCACTAATCTTACTGACATAGTTACGGTCAAGCAAAATGTTGCCTGGTTTTAGATCACGGTGCACAAGTGGTTCTGGCTTGGTTTGATGGAGGAAACGAAGGCCCGTGGCAATTTCTGCAGCAATTCGGAATCTTAGTTGCCAAGAAAGAGGTGGACTATTTCCTCTCCGGAACAGGCAGTCTTCCAAACTTCCATTAGCCATATACTCATAGACTAAGCAACCATACTCTGGGCAGGCTCCAAGGAGGAGGACCATATTTGGATGCCTTATGCAGGATAATACTTCAACCTGTTCAAGAGTTGTCAGAATACATGTAAGAACAGATGGTTCAATAGAATTAATAAAAGAAGGAAAGAAAGAAAAGATAAGACAGAAAAAAGGCTGTGCCATTTTGCTGGATTTTTTAGTTTTCTTTGGAAAAAAAAAAAGCTTGTGTTTGAAAAACTTAAATTCAACTCTTGTAGATCAACTTTTACAAGCTGGGGGAAGGCAGTGATTAGCTCAAAATATTAAGGCTTATTGTTGCAGGAGCACTAGTGGCTATATAAATCTATTCAAGTTTCAGTTGGCTCTTTGGCATTTGAAAAATCACTAGGTTTAGTGACTCCTTTGTAGTTTCTGAAGAAAGTGTGAGATGTTACTAGTTCCCCATTTCAAATCTGCATATTGAATGACTTTTTCGTCACTTTTGCTAGGATATTAGTGATCATTTTGAATTCAGTTTCATTAGTTTAATTGTCAGAAAGTTAAGGTGGATATATGTTGTTTTCCATGTATTTACTCATTTATGCTTGGTTGATGGACAGAGTTCCAAACCTCTTGCTGAAACTGTGACCTTCCATGAGCTGCATCTGGACGTAAAACTTTAACGGCCACTGGTGTATGATCCAGATAGCACTTGTAAACTGGCCCATAACCTCCTTCTCCAATCTTGAGCGAGTCTGAAAACTCATCTGTTGCTGCTTCAATCTCCTCGATCGTGTATTTTCGATACCGAAAATCACTTTTTGCAATGGATTGTATTGCCTTCGTCTTCTCCTCAGATTCCTTTTGAGCCATCATTTCTGCATTTAGTCTTTTTTGTAATTCCAATTCGGCAATCCTTCGAGCTGCTTCAGCTGCCTCAATGGCTACTTTACACTTAGCTTTCTCCTTTGCTACAAGTTGCAATGCAGCTTCCTCTGCTAATTGCGATTGTTCTAATCTTTGTTGTTCTTGCAATTTCCAACGATGAAGTTCTCTGGCCTGTAATGAAATTTCATCAGAATTCAATCAAATTGCAGCTCAACTCGAGGTTTGATTTTCTATTTATATGTATTTAGGCATGTCATTAGTGTGTTCATTGGTGCTTTTGGTCTTAGATTTTGGATATCCTGAGCTATTTGTTTATTTTGAGTAACACATAATGAGCTTCAAGTTCGAAAAGAATGAAAACAGAGCTTGAATAATCGAATCGGAGCACACCCCTGATATATTTTTCAATGTAAGAATTTCATTCTGAAAGATGTACTTTTGTACCAAAGAACTAACAAACTTTAGAGACTGCTCATAGAAGGTTCGAACTGACAGCACCTTCTGTTTTGCAGTGAGTGCTTCCTTGCATGCTGAGCTATACATGTCCATCGTTTGCTTGAGCTCTTGTCTGAGCCTCCGCATCTCGGCTTCCACACCATCCTATAAATTTTGAATGAAGCATTCATTAGTTTTCTGTCTACTCTAATGTGAATCATTGTACGTAAATGAGTGTATGCCTCACGTTTTCCCTAATGTTTTTTGTTTGTCTACCTGTCAACCTGCCCTTTTCCAATGATTCACCTGCCCTTTTCCAGTGATTCACCTAACTTTTGTTTGTTATGCATGACTATGTTTCTATGGGTAAACATATAACTGTTATTGAACCATCACTTTTTTGGAAAATGTATGGGAAAAAAAAAACACTATAAAGGAAAGGTGATGGGCATCAAAAAGAAAATTGTTAACTTCTAGGTGAATCTACTGAAACAAGTGAACCAGAGCCTGCCCCTTGACTGCCAGGAAACATGAACCGTTCCATCAGTATCATGAATAAATCGATGCATGTTGGTGTTTATGTAAGTGTTAACTATGCCTTCTCTGGACTTTATGTCCTTACCATGTTCTGTGAAGGCCATGAAGTGCCACTTTCTTCCGAGGCTGATGAGAAATTATACTGTGTACTTGCATCTATTGATTTGTTTCCTGAATTTGATGACCCCAAGGATCTATAATCATAATCTGAGCTGTTTGAAAGCCAAGGTGCCATTCCAGGTTCTGAAACATCATAGTAAGAGGGAAACATGAGATCGGTGCTTGGCCTTCCACTGCTTACAAATGATATGTCAGATTCTGGAGTGGAGGGTTCATATTTGGTGAGTCCACCTCTTCTAGTGAATGGTGACCTGTTTCAGTGATTATCAGGTTAGTCTTGTCATTGAATATGAGTATAGTCTCTATTTTTTATTTTTTTTGAGCAAGCATATTCTCTCATTAGAAGCTGCCATCATCTTTAAATAGTCTTTCCTTCAAGATCTACTGGTGCTTTACCAACCTTGTTGTCAGTGCTTGCATCATAATGGCAGTCACTGATAATGAGGCAGCCATGAGCATGGTTGCCAGAGTGTTTGTTTTTTTTTTTGGGTGGGAAATTATGGTTTTGCTCTGACTTGCTTCTAAAGCTGGTGTTGGAAAGCAGCAGTGCCAGGACTATTGGCACAAGTGAAGCAACTCCAGAAGAAAGAAGGAAAAAAAAAAAAAAAACGATGTTTGTGTCATGGCTGAAATTTAATGTGTGTCAAGCTGAAAGTTTCTTGCCAAGCATTGAATAGAGAAGTATCATATCATGTAAAGTTCAATGAAACCAGTATAGTTCAATGAGAACATAGAACTGCCTGCCATCATAACTGGAAGAGAAACGAGAGAAACTTCCATCTATTTTTTTTTTTTTAATAAACTCACACATCCAAAGTTCAAGCTCCTAGCAGAACTATGCTAGGAGTTGAACCCGTGACCTCACTACCAATGAACTTCCATCTATTTAGACTTCTAAGTTGTATGATTAAACCTATATCCATTTGAATTATTGATGGTCGTCGTTATTTTATACCTATTCACCTCAGAGAAAATCTGTCGAACTTACTTGATTTCCATATCTTCTTGGAGGCCTTGCAGTGTATATGGTGACCTCTCTGGTACTGCAAAATATCAATACACCACTAATGAGCAATGACAAAGCCAGATACAGTAGCTTAAAGAACAAAAAGCTTATTAGAGAAGCAGACCTCTGGGAGCTATCCTAGACTTGAAAGGGGATTCAACTGTATCAGACACGTTACTGGCCCTGCTCGGCATCTGAGTTTGAATGGAAGGTTTTGTAGGCACCGGACCACTAGCAGATCGAACCGATGCAATCTTTCCTTTGCTGATGACATATACAGTGCAGAAGTCTGGCGCTCCTTTGGACACATTACTTGGAACATCTGATGTCTTGAATTTTCTGTGGGGGTAGAAAAACATAATTAGTATGATCAAAATTCTTATTCCATACTTTATATTATTGAAACTGAGACATGACATTGTATGATATCAGATGGAAATCTGAAGTTGGTTGAACCTTGTATACAGGATCAGATGGAACATTGTTCTGGCAGTTATCCATCTATTTCTTGGTTTGTTTCAGATTTGAAAAAATCTGAAAACCAAACCAACAATTGCTAGCTCTATGTCTCAACTTAGCCCAGGGAATGAAACCCATTATCTTAATCTAATGTCTGTTTCTCCTATATATAAAAGATTTCTTTAGGATACCAAAGAGAGTTTGAGTTCTGAGCTAGCCCTCGATATTTGCTGTACCTGACAAGACCTCCCTTTGATGATGAACCAAGTATCAAAACCTCAACTGCATTTTTGGTCACATAGTCTATTATTCCTTTGGCTATCTCCCTTTCCTCCACTACAACTTCATTGCATTTTATCTGCATCAAACATTGACTGTGAGATTGATGAAGAAAAAACCCCAGTAATCTCTATTGCTAAATTAGTTGTAGCACTTGAAAATTTAATTATGTTACCAAACGTTAACCAAATGAAATGCGGATTTGAAATGAAAAAGCCGACTAGAAAAAAAAGCCAACTAAAAAAAATTGAAAAAGCCGACTAGAAAAAAAAGCCAACTAAAAAAAATGATCGTGGTCATTATTGTCGATCACGGTTTATTATAATATTAAAATAACAGTAATAAAATGTTTCGAAACTGTTATTTAATGGTTGTTATAAAACATAGTGGCTGTTATTTAAGATTATCAGCTTTACCTCCTTTCTTGTGCAGAAGCAACGGAATGGAAGGAACATCTCTTTGGCTTGGCCATCAATTTGTTTGCTATATGTTCTTACAACATCGTCATTGACGTCATTGATGGAGACTTGGTTTCCACCTGCAACCAAAGAGACAATCGGTATGGTGGTGATATTTACGTACGAGCAACCAAAGAAACATCTAACGAGAAGTGAAAAGATTTTTTTATATTCGAACTGCTAGCTTAAATTACAATTGTTGCATCTGAACTGTATGGTGATTCTTATGATGTTTCGATTCGTATATATAATACGTGCATTGCATGCAAGGTCGTCCAGACAACCAATGACTGATAATGATTATTATCACTCAAGCCAGCACTAATTATCTGATTTATTATTATCATTTTGACATGAAGGGGAGGAGGAGGCATACATGGGGTGGGGATGGATGATGCTTTTTGTTTAACATGCAGAAGCGTAATAGCCTGTCCCCTGGTTAGAAGATGATCAACAGTCCATTTGAGAGCAAACTGGCTGCTTTTATCCTTGTCTATGGCAACTACTACGTTGCCTTCTTTCTTTTCTCCATTCCCTCTAGACATCTCTGTCTCTCTTTTTCTCTACGAGAATCAAATTAGCTGCAACTCAAAAAATTTAAGAACAAAACAAACAACGAACGCTTCAATATTAGCCCCTTAGTACTGTTTCCTTGAATATGCTTTAAGGCCATAACATATATAATATGATCATCCTCTTGATGAACATGAAGAAGAAAGAAATTTCTTCAGAAACTAACCTTCAAAGTACCCTTTCCTCTCTTTTCTGATGATACAGTCGAGCAGATTTTGCTATTTTTCTGTTCAATGGAATGTCTTATATCTCCCATGGAAGGAGGGGAGTTAATGAAAATGAGCTGGTGACCTCCCAATGTTAGCCACTAATGCCACATTGTAAAGAGTAGTTTTATGTTAGTTACAGAATTTAGTTTGACCACCTTTGCCTAGGGTTTTTATGCGTTCTGCCTCATCTTTTAAATCTATAGCCTCATCGTCGATGCATAGAGATGATAATAAATCGGATATTCTGTTCATTAATTCAACTCTTTACCTTATTCATTAGAAAAAAATATCATGTTCTTACCTATTAAGAAATTATCTATTAAATTTATATTAGCCTATCTATTTAGTACTTACTAAAAATGGTTTGTCAAAAAATTTTGTTTTAGTGTTTTTTTAAAATATTTTAGCCCTTATAATTATTCTTTTTACAAGTTGGTACTTTATTTAAAAGTTTTTTGGTTTTTACTTTATAAATTTGTGCAATAAGATCTTTACACGTTTTTTTTTCAAAAAAAAAAGTATAAAATGAGTATCCATACTTAAAAGTCATATTAACAGATATATATTTTTTTTATTTTTTTCTCAATATAAATTAAGCAATTGAATGAGTATTTATTGGAGTGACTATCCAGTTCTGATTTCATCCATCCATCCCTATGTAGTAGAATTTCTAACTATATAAATGGAGATTCTCAAATTCAAATTGTGAAAATGTCAAAACGAGGGATGATAAATATCATGAAATCAACTATATAAATATCTTGAATTTTTATTTGTACATACAAAAACATTTATGTATATATTTTTATTTGTGTTAAAAAATATCATATTACAATTATATGGTTAAAATTATTATATATATAGCTTTAATATGTTCAACAATAATACTTATCAAATAAGTTTATTATATTCAACATTTAATTTTCAGTAAAACAGACTTGTCAAGAACGTATTTAGTACTTAACAAATTCAATACTTAAAATTTAATACTTAATATATTCAGTATTTAATTTTCAGTTTTATCAAACACCACCTTAGTGTTTTCTTAAATTTATCATTTCTCTTTGGTAGATAAGCCTTGATTTGGGTTGGATTTTATTTAGACTAAGGTAACTGTTGTTCTTTTGATTATGATAGGTGCATCTTACCTTAATTACTTGCAAAGCAATATTTTATTATTATTATTATTTTGCTATAATCTATTTCTATCTATGTAATTTAAATTTTAAGAGAATTTTAATGTTCAAACCTCGAAAGTGGGTGAAATTTAGAGAAAGAGACTTTTTCATTTTTTCTTATTAGTCCGAGAAATAAGAATATTTTTGAGTTAATTTTTGTCGAGGCTAATGAACATCGACGGAAAGACCAAATTAACTCTCTCCTTCTATAATAAGAAACCCTAACCAAACCCTTTCTTTCTCCCATTAAAGATTGCCAAAAGAAAAGAAAACTTTGCATCAAATCAAGAACTCAAGAAAAGAAAAAATTAAAAAAAAATATGGATAATATTGATATTGGTCTTTGCACTGCCTGTGGCTGCCATGGAGTTTCTTCCTCTAACAACAAACGCAGCTCTTCTGATCTCAACACCACTCCCCCTATACTAGTTCTTACATTGAATTGTTAATCGATGAATTTTTCTGCTTCAGCTTATAAATTTTTGAACTGAGTTCTTTTCCTTTACCTTCTCCGAAGCCCCCATAAAATGTTTCTATTGTAGCTAGATTGATAATGTGCCTATCCTGAGCTCTCTCCTTCGACACTGCCATGCAAGTCTCAGAAGATGTTATGTGGGAAAAGAAAACTATGCTTGAATCAATAAAATCTGTGGAGTAGCCTTAAAAATCGACAGATATTCGATAACGTTGTTCAGGGAACCAGAAGAAATCCAAGCATATTACAATAATTAGAGAGCTAAGTTACAGATTACATCTCAAAGCCATAGTGCACGCATATCACTCGAAAGAGGATCATTTAAATACAGAGAAGTATAAGTAAAACACAAACACAACAACTATCATGTGGTATAAGCTCTGATGTTTGACAACTATGTGGGATTGACTTAAAGCATCTAAAACTCTCTTCCTTTCCTCAGCTTCTTTGAGAGCTTTCTTTTCAGCTTTGATTCTCTTCTGTACCTCTATCTCGATACGCATCTGAGCTGCTTCAGCTGCTTCATTTGCAGCCTTGCTCTTTGCTCTCTCCCACTCCACCATCTTCAATGCAGTTTCCTCAATTTGATGCACCTCCTGTATTCTTTTCTCCTCTCTCATTTTCCATTGTTCAAGCTCCATTGCCTGTAGTTGAAACAATGAAGGTTAGGTCTTATATATTAGAGCTGTGGGTGGCGTTAAGTGGGGTAGAAACTCTGATGCTTAAAGCAAAATCCAGAAAATTAAAGTCATTAAAAGGACATGTTCTTATTAAAACCTTTTGTTTTGCTGCAAGTGCTTCTTTGCAGGCTGCATGATACAGATCTATTGTTTGCTTGAGTTCATTCTTTAGCCTTCGAATCTCATCACGGTCTTCCTGGAATCGTAATAAACATTTGTTAAGAGTGAGCAGCTGAAAGAATAAATGATGTTAAAACTAATCCAAACGAAGTATAACTCTCTTGAAAATATATGCAAAATTGTTGGCTAAGTACACATTACTTTCCAACTTCTGTCCTTGTACAATTTTGGATTAAAATTGGATTCTGACTTTATTTTTGAAATTGAAAAGGACTTATGCAGCACACTAACCTCGTTTTGTTCCAACCAAGGCTCTGCATGATTGTCGAATTCAGGAATAGGGTTAAGCTCAACTGGGGATCTGAACGCTGAATGCGATTCGAAGTCTCTTTCGTCCATATACAAGTCCTTACGCAAGTTTCCGGTTAGTTCAGAACGCCCCAGATTTTCATAAAAAGCAAAGAACGCAGTATCAGTGCTCGGCCTTTCAGAACTTCCACCCGGGCTATCTGGGTGATCCGGCGAGAGCTCATCATACCAGCTACAACGATTCATCAAAATGTTAACAGCTATCAGCTTATTTTACAGCAATTGGCATACAGGTATAAGTGGTATTTGATCATCTACCACCCTAAGTTACCATAATGTGTTATCCACCACCCTAGTTATAGTTCATAAATGTTGTAAAGAGCTTTATCTAGGCTGAAACTAGGCAGAGAAGAATCAAGGCATTTTGTGGTATACAGTCAGGAGAATCATAAAAATAATCCTGAATCCTGACCTTTTGAGACCTCATTTTTTCTTATTAAATGCTGTCTGTCAAGATCAATATGTATCAAACATAGTTTTAAACAATGGCTATTACATTATATAACAGCTGTTATATAATTATTTAGGAGCATCCCGTCCTTATTATTATTTTAGTAAGTCGTGATCCATAATGGTGATTGCAATCGTTTTTTTCTACCGTCCACGATTTAAAACTATGGTATCAAAAGCTATCCCACAGAAAAGATTCTAGGAAACAAGAATATATTATCAATGTAAAGGTCTGGACTAGTATTTAGGCTTACATGGTAGTAGGTAATTCAACAGTCGAGTTACGCTGCAGCAGCTGTGCCCCTCCAGAGGTATACGTAGCTGGGACTGGACGAGTTGCATTTCGCAAACCACTGACTTTTCCTTTCGAAACTACATATACAGTGCAGAAAGTGGGTGCTCGTTTCAATACAGTGCCAGGAATATCTACAGTCTTGAATAGTCTGTGCAGAACAATATTAAAGCTAAGATAAAATTGCTTTATAACCATGAATCTATCTTTGCATAAAAATATCTAATACCACAGGTTTCTTCAAAGAACTAAACCAAACAATTGATAGACTTGTAAGGTAAAAACTTTTATGCTAACATATTTTCATTTCAGGTTGATCATAATAGATCGATTAGTACTATTTGGCAATTACCTGGAAAGACCATTCCTTGATCCTGCTCCAAGCAACAAAGTGTCAACTCCAGCTTGGTGAACATATTCAATGAGTGCTTTTCCCACATCTGTATCCTCAAGTAACACACATTCGAATTGTACCTAATGTAGAAGATTTAATTTAGATGTTCTTAAAGTAAAATACAAAGAGAAGGAAGCACAGAAAACCCACTTGTCGACGCCTACAGTAACATCGAAATGAAAGAAACAAATCAATCGTTTGATTATCGGGCGGTTGTTCCTCTGGTGTGTCATCATTTGACACTGCAACAAAAACATGAAATTGCATAAACACTTGAAAAAAAAATTGCAAACAAACTGATGATCCTTTAACCAAAAATCCATCTTTTGCAGCATTTCAAAAGTGAACAATGGTGCAATGGCCTAGAGATAATGAATGCCTCGTACGATCAAAAAGCCTATTATATGACATCTGATTATGGTTCAGACAACATTGTTTGTGTACATGAAGATGTAATAAATGAAACAAATGGCAGAGAAATCAATGCAAGTATCTTAAGAGAGTTAACCTGAATTTGCAGGAGGAGGGGATGGTTGTCTCTCTCTAACATGGACTAGTTTCAAAACGTTGTCTCTGGTGACAAGATTATCCACAGCCCATATGAGAGCAGATTGGCTGCTTTTATCCTTATCTATTGCCACAGCTATTGTCCTATCTCTTCCTCTCCTCCTCTCTGCATTCTCCCTTGGATTCAACATTTTCTGGCCCTTTCCCTCTCCCCCTCTCGGTTTCTCGAAAAAGAATCAAACCAAGAAACTATAAGAAATATATAACACAAGGTCATTGGAAAGAAGCCGTAGGTTCACGAACCATAAGTTTTAAGGTTCAAGAAACATCCAAACCCATGTATACATGTATGTCTCCTGTCTCTCCAACAATGTTGTAGTGTTTATAGTCAATGAGGTTGTAACTTGACCTTTCAAACAATCCACCATAATTGGCTGTCATTACAGAACATAAACAGATCAAGGCAAAATACTTTGTAACAGAAAGAAACAGTTCGTGATATTCAACATTTTGCCAAGTCATTAGCAAAGCTCTTTCCAAAATTAATCACTCCCACCATCCATTTTACTTGAAAATGAACATTTCTTTTACTAATTATAGGTAATGATCAATTAGTTATGTGGTCAAAACTGAATATCCTGTCATTATTTTAATGGTCCTTTTTCACGCACCAAGACTGTCTCTTTTGTATTAGACTTCCGCACCATTCACATCGGATTGATACATTCATGAAAAATTAGCTTCTTTTGTTTCATCATGTTTTGGATAGTTAAAGAACGTATCATATGTTGGTTATTTTGATCATAGTTTTAAATTACGAATACGATTGTAAAACCATAACGGTACATAATGGATATATGACCCGAATCTGTTAAAAAAATACCGTTATTTGAAACTATGATTTTGACTACTACAATTACTGAATATGCGAATGTCTTTAACTAATCAATCTTTTAGGCTATTTTCTTTTCCTGATAACTAATCTCTCAGGCTCTTAACTTGATCCAAAGGTTTTCAAACAATAATAATAATTGTGGGAAAATCGCACTGTTCTGATCCGGAATTAGCTTAACATTCTCCAATTGCTTAATAGCCGATTCAGCAGCAGGGACAGGATTTCCTGGCGGTACTCCAAAGCTAACAGCTTGATTCCAGGGGTTTCTATAATATTCAGAATCCATCTAGAATCTAATTGCCGATCAAGGGATCGAGATGGAATCGGCGGCCGCAGCCATCGATATTCTCGTCATCGGCAGTCTGACTTGTAAGGCCGGAAGGACAAGTTTAGATTCCATGGTTTTTAACCGTGAATGCAATTGTAAAAGTAGTTGCAATTGTAAGGCCGGAAGGACAATAATTGATATTATAAATATATTAATAGTTATTAATAAATTTATAATAATTTAAATATTTTTATCAATTTTACCCGTCAAACATAACAATAATATCTTTAATAATTTAATATTATAAAATAATGATTGAATTTTTCAAAATAATAATAATAATAATAATAATAAAACAATTAAAACATTTTAGCATCATACGTAATCACAAACAATGACAAAATATATTATAATTTTAAGATACATATTACAAAACAAGTTTTTTTCACATTTAGATTCGTGTTTTTTGAATTTTTTTGATTGAGACTCTCTATTTTTTTTTTAATTGAAATTCTTTATTTTTCGAGATTTCTTACTTTAAATCTTCTATTATAACGCTACTAATCAATGATCGACGAGTGACATTATAAAATAAGTTTCAAAGATTAAAGGTTTGAGATTTCTAATTTTATAATATGTCACATGTCGATTATTGATTGATGACGCTATAAGAGTTTGAAATAAAAAATCTCAAAGAATAAAACATCTCAATCAAACTAAAAAAGAGTACATGAACTCAAGTAAAAACAATTTAAAGAATACGGTATTTAAATACGAAGAAAATTCATTATAAAATATTTATCTCCAAAAAGATAATAATACTTTTTTAGAACAATAATATAATGTCATTATTTACTAGATAACGACAGAAACAGTCATTACGATCATATATAGTTGCAATTATTTGAGTGAAACGTTTTTGGATTCTTTATAAAACTGTATAAAAAAACAGACATGTCTGATCTTGTCTTTCCATGGGCTGCTTGGCTACAAGAAAAGTTTATTTGGACTAAACTAACCGATTACATCACAGAAATTTGCTACAGAAGCCATCAATTACACCAACGAATCAGATACTTCTGATCCAAGTAAATCCATTTTGTGCTATAAATTTTCTAGCCATATCCATTGCACCATAAGGAAAAAGATAAAAGCAACTCAACACTAGCTCGTTTAGTCAGAAACTAGTTTTTGGAGATATTATTTCCATCAATTTTTCACTGTTTATTCCGTGGATGTTGTAAAGATAAGCCATACAAACATAATAGTACAATCGCTATTGTCATGGGAATTGATAGAATCTTTTACTGATGAAACTATTTATGGATTGTTCTTATATCTGTGAATGATTTTTTATGGTCTATCTGATTAGTATGGAATAATTTTATCTTTAACGAAACCATTCTTGATTGGAACAAACATTCTTTTATTGGTTTTTTATAGAGTGACATGTTGAGCTAGATATAGTGATAATCATTTTATTTATTCTGGAAATGATATTTAGATTAGCTTAAATAAAATCAAAAGATAGATAAATACTTCAAAAACTTGCATTTGGGCTCTTTGATCAGATAGTTCATCTTTTTTTATTGTTGTAGTCTAGTTTTGCTTTTTTTTTTTTTTTTTTTGACGAGATTATTGTTTAATTTGTTTTACTTATTTGTATTCTAAACTATTAATGTAGCTACTTTCTTGCTGACTCTTTTCTCATTGATGGAATTTTATCAAAAAATAGTACAATCTTTTATATATAATATGGAAATTAAAGCAGTATTTTTATTTATTTCCATAGTAGGTATATAGAGAGGCAAGCATGCAAGTTCAAGACATTGCTAGTGAGAAGGAAATATAAAAAATAAAAACAAAAGTGCATTGACAATCCCCCTTTCACACCAACTTCCACCCTGCATTTACACTTAAAAGAGAAATATTTTTCTTCTTCTTCTTCTTATTCTTTATACATGCATGCATTGCGATCCCATAGCTCTTCCTTCAACACCAAAAAGTTTATTTCTGGCCACCTCCCCCTCTAAAGATTAGAGATCCAAATTTTCACTTAAACCATTCTAGTGTTGTTCAAGAGAATGTGAAATCATCAGACTTTCCTATTGAAGATCTCATGTCCCCTTCACTAGCATAGGAGGAGAAAAAATCATCATCACTATCTCTCTCTTTTACTTCCTCGATCCTCTCGACAGCTTCCTTCAAGTCTATCCTCTTCTCCACATCTGTTTCGCAACAGCTCAAACCGATCTTCAGTAGCTTGATCACCTCACTTTCACCATCAGCATTTTGCTTTGTTGGCCCATTAGTCATGTCCTTATCGATCACCACATTAGGCCACTCTTTACGAGGAACAGAATTGACCCAATTTGCTAAATCTTCCTCCTCGCTTCCCTTGCCTTGCGGTACGAAGTTTGCCGGCAACTTTGCTGTTAAGATCTCCAGTATCAACATCCCGAGACTCCATACATCGGTCTTCTTGGTAATCCGACCGTGATGTAAGTATTCAGGGGACTTATAGGCTACCATGAGTTCTTGAGCATTTTCTTGGTTGATAACAGGAACTAGTCCATAGTCGGTGAGCAAGGGCTCGTTGGATTCAGTGAGAAGAACGTTGGAGGATTTGAGGTGGCCGTGGGCAGCGATTATGTTGGGAAGGTCTTTGTAGAGGTATGCAAGACCCTTGGCTACTCCTTTAACAATCTTTAATCTGCTTGGCCAATCAAGGCTTGGTTGGCCTAGAGCTTGATGACCTGAAAGGAAATAGATGGCAGCAGCAAGGTCAGCAAACAGAAATGCCACAGATTATATGAAAGAATGGAAATAGAAAGACGAGGAATGTTATGGACACTTGTGCAAGCATGCACAGAACGATTCTACCCATCCGACAATGGTGCATACACTTAAAGGATGGATAGCCTCGCCATGTGCATGCGGTGGCTGTCCAGATTATTTGCAAACATACCATGAAGATGAACAGCTAGGCTGCCTTTCTCAATGAAGTCAGTGATCAAGAGCTTCTCTTCCTTCCTATAATAGTAAGCCACAAGAGGAAGTAAGTTAGTGTGCTTCAATCTCCCTAGCCTCCTCATATGCTCTTGAAACTCTTCTTTTCCGACATTATTCATCTGCTTAAACCTCTTAACCACCATCATCGTCCCAGAGTTAAGTGCTGCTTTGTAGGAGGACCCGAAGCAACCGCTTCCTAATATCTCAGCCGAGGCCTTTAACAGGTCTGGCAAATCAAACTTTTCCCTATCATCCCTCACAAAGGACAGCTTTGGAGCTTCTCCCTTCTTGCTACCTACCGAGTGGTCTGGTGAGCTTGATGGGCTCTGGTGCTCTTCCTTGAAACCTGTTTTCTTTTTGAGGTTTGATGGTATTGGTGGTGGTGGTGCTTCTACTGAGGCTGGTGGTTGTCTTTGGCCTCGACGACGAAGGAAAACGAAAGTAACGATGGCAACTAATAGTAATACCACAACTACAGCAATGATCACAATTAGTAGCACTGAGGGTTTCTTATCGCCATTGTCGTTGGTGGAAATGGTATTACATTGGTTTAATGGTGGTCCACATAGACCTTTGTTACCTGCTCGATCGAAAAAAGGTATGAATGTGAAAAAATACTGGAAAATCATTTAGCAATGTTGCTAGAAATATGAAAAAAAAACTCAATTTTGTTCTAGTGAATTGATGTGCATAAGGTGTCAATGATCTAAATATCTTCTTTATGAGGGAAAATCAATGTCTAGCTCATTATTTCCAAGTATCAGAAAACTAAAGTGATGGTGATTAGTTATCCAACATCTCATATTAATCAATGATGATGGCCACCGAGGTTAATAAAAGTCACATCTCGCTCGGTGCCATTAATTTTCAGATCAAGAGGGCAACTCACCTGAGAAGGAGCTTGAATCAATCTTACTGAGGCCTGGGGGGATTGGCCCCTCCAATGCATTGTTTGACACACTGAATGAATGAAGATTCTGAGTAAAATCTGGTAGCTGCCCAGTAAATTGGTTGCCTTCGAGCCTCAAATCCAAAAGCTTAGGCAAGGCAGCCAATGACGAAGGAACGGCACCTGTAAACTCATTTTCTGCCAAATACACTTTCTTCAGTTTCAACATGCCATCAAAAGCAGCCGGCGGAATCACCCCTGAGAAATGGTTGTTGGATAAATAAACCGCTCTCAATGAAACAATTTTCTTGAACTCTGGAATGGGACCTTCAAAGTTATTGTTCATGACGCTGAATGTTTTCAAATCCTGCAGAGTCTGTAGAGTTTCCACATCAATCTTCCCAGCCAGTCCCATATTCTCAAGTTGCAGACCCCAGAGGACCCCTTCAACGCAAATTACACCAACCCAGTTTGTTGCATTATTTTTTGTGCATGGTGTGGTCTTGTCACTCCAGTCGGACAATGCAGATGCGTTCGACAAAGAACCTTTGAACTTGAGGAGGATTTCTGAGTCTGTCAGCCCCAAAGAGGCAACAAAATGGAGGGATACGAGTAGAAAGACAAGAACAATCGACGGCTTATCTTTAAAAGCCATGGTACTGTAGCGTTGTGGGACGCGCACTGGTTTTGGGGCATGCGCGCCCTTTGCAGTCAGGAATGGCTTCAACTGAGGACTATAATGGTGGGGTGGGAGGGGCAGGAGAGGAAGCTTGGGAAGGTGGTAAAGTTTTGATGGCATAGAAAGAAAGAGAGGAGAGAGACAGAGAGGAAGAGACAATTGGTTTGCTAAGAATAGGAGAGGTTAGTATAGGTTTTGTTTACAAAAAGCAAATAAAAGAAGGGTTGGGCATGAAGTTCTGACAAAGTCAAATCTCTTTGTTAGAATGCAGGAGTGCGGTGTGGATTTAAATCAGAGATATCCGGTCTGCCTTTGAATTGGATTCAAAGCTGAGCCCTTTCCTTACCTATTTCTCAGTTCAACTTTTCACTCCTCCTGTGAGAACATTTTTTTTTTTTTTTTTAAACATAACATCATCCAATTATTTTCCTCCGAAATCCATCTCTTCCCCACCTTATAAAATGGTTGCTCTGAAGAATTAAATTGCAATTTCTGTAGGAGACAATTAGTTTTCGCTTTCATTTTTCTTCTCTTTTAGTGCTAGAAGCAGCTGATAGTTCACAAAACCAGCATCTAAACAAAGTATAACATCACTCAAAAAGTGATTCTGGTTATAGAAGTCAGTATATATATATATATAACAATTTTATGACAACCAAATATGCAAACAATAGAATGAATTTCATTTTTTCAGTCATGGGAAACAGAACTTTTCATGTAGGATCAATAAAAAATCCTCAGATTGCCCTAAGCCCATATGTGCATGACATATCCGCTAAAAAAGTTGGCTGGAAGCAACAATTGTGTAAATTTGACATAAGATGTGCTCTAGGGAATGAGGCAGTTCTGTGGATCAAACTCAGTATATCCTACATCGACAAGACATAGACCATCTGGGGGTGCCGGAGGAGCAGTGGCACGTCTACATGTAGCATCCATCAGCTTTAGTAGTGCATCCTCTTGTGCACCTGCAGCTGCTTCCCTTACTGAGGTTGCCACAAGAACCCGAACCATCTGTTGTGTAAAGTTAGCACAACAGAAATGGAAGTTATAAACAGTTCAACACAGAATACAAATCCAAAACCAACAGATATTTTCAAAGCATGAGGCTGATATGATGTTTAGAATTGGGGTAAAAAATAGCCAACTTGAAAAGAAAACCTAAACGAGTTTGCACCATAGTTAACCAATAAGTAGACTTGGAAGCTGAAATCCAGACAAGAAACAGTACAGTAATTCATGAGGTGAATCTATGGATTCATTGTATAATTTCCATAGAATTCTATAACAAGGCTGTTTCACTAGTGAATGTTAAAATAAGACTCATCATCACACATGGAAACTGTATAATCTACAAATACATCCAACAACAGAACATCAATGTTGATGCATTGAATTTGAGAGGTTGAAGAGTCAAACCTTGCGTAGGAATCGATTAGCAACCAGCTCAACACACATGACCTTTATCCCTTTCCCGTGATCCTATAAAAATAGCAACATTATTAGTAATGCATCTACATATTCATAGATGTTATAAATATAATTTCATAGAGGAGTCTATGTTCAGAGGGAAAAGAAATGAAGCCATCCATGCCCATTCATAGATTCCACAAAACTGCTAAGGTGTGCTTGCACACAGCACACCAGTTCACACACCCATCCACTAGAATCAAAGCCGTGTGATTTGTATCCAAAGACACGGAGAAAAAAACGTTTTCAAAGAATGGTTACAGCAATAAAATTTACATGAGATGGCAATCTGGCTTTTGTGGCTCGAGCATGATAAATGAAGCATTCTGTTGGAGGACCTCTGTAACAAAAAGATGCTATTAGCAATCAAATTACAAGATTCTTAAATAAAATAAAATAAAAACCACTGCATATTTCATCAGTTATTGTTAATTAAACATTTCAGTGGAAAAACTACAAATTCCCATAGCAGTCCTAGATATGAGAATACACCTGCCATTTTTTTCTAGCAGTAACCAATATGTCAGGCGGGGAAAGTGGAAATTTATATATGTAACATGACTAACAACTAATTATACACCAAAGGGAACTAAAAGCCATGCTAAAAGCAATGGATGCACCAGTGAAGGCCAATATGATCCATATGGACGTCCCTACAGGAACAAGGAGATGGTATTGATGAACACAATTCATTTAACCAGCATTAACTCTAGGAGCTGAAGATCGATTAAGAATATAAGGTGCATTTGGATACGATATTGACATGTAATCTTCTGCACTCTGCATGTAGGTGTATATATATAGATAGATAAATTTGCCGGCAAGGTCAAATCGGTAGGTAAAGATTTGAATCCTAAATTTGACAGCTTTAGACTACTGCAAGGATAGGCGCATAATGCCTTAAATATTCTCCACAAATAACTCTGGCTTTTTGCCGTATCCACATCAGTACAGCTGGTAGACCAAAGGCATACAGGTGCAGTTTCCTAGCTAAGAAAGTAGAGAATTCTTTTTGTTCTTTATTCTTACACATTCCTCGAAGCTTTGGTATCACGTGCAAAAATTTTGTAGGATAATAACTTTCCCTCTAGTTGTTGTAAAAGCTGGTTAACCCTGCATACACTGAACTTCCTAGGTTTCTTTGCACCTTCACGTTCATCCTCATCACTGATTATCAAATTTTCAATATTCTCCTCGCTTGCCAGTTCATCACATTCATTTCTTCGCTCATCATAATCATAAGAAATAAAATTTTCAATGTCCTCCTCACTTTCGATCTCTTCCCTATTTTCTCCATCATTTAAAGGAAATATATATAAATAACGCCTCCATTTGGCAGAAAAATTTGGATGGAATGCACGTGGAACCTATAATAAGTTACAGAACTTATTAGTATAGGGACAGTTGTAAAGCTTCTGTTATGAAGCAAGGAAGAGATCAGGCAGTAAGTAGTTTAAAGTAATCAATACCTCAGAAATGGATACAACTCTGACTTTTCCTGGCGCAGCATCATTGATGGCATCTTCAATTTCACGAGGTTTAACATCTTTTCTCCAAGTATCTGGAAATACAATTGGTAAGAAACTAAAATTCAATTGATGAATAGAACAAGTGCTAAAACAGACTTTGTTTAATTTTCAAGATATCATTCTTTCGACATCACCCATCAACAAATCAAATAATATAACTAAGTCTGCTTAACTTTAATTTCAATACCCACATAATGCCAACAGAACTTTTGCATCACAGGAAATTTTGAGGCTTTGGTTTCAACACAAAAAAAGGATCATAAATGAGATGGAAAACTGACATGATAAGTTCTGTGAAACTTATCACACAATATTTGTTGCAATGGTTGGCAAATAGAAAAAAAGTAGTGAAAGGAATAGGCCTCACAATCAAGAATATTTAAATATTTTGAATGTATTGTAAAATATATGGAACTGCTGAAAGAATAGGGAAAAAACATACAGAAAGAACAAACTTGTCGAAGACCTGACACTCCTTTGTCAGTGCGCCCAGCAACAATAGCACAGCCTTCTAATGGCTTAGATTTGTCTTTTAGGTGTTGAGCTTTCTGCTCATCAACAAATATTCCAAGAGACTTTTCTACTACGCTGAAAGACATGGAGAAGTGAACACAAGAACATGAAAACAAAAACAAATGCTCATGAATTATAAATTCGCTAACTTAATTTCTCCAGATCATTTTTAAAGGAAAAAAAAAGGGTTTTTGCAAGCACAAAGTAATTTCAATTAAACTTCTCACTAGCAGTATTCAAATCATACAGATTATACAATTAGAGTAAATTTCTCAAGTCCAAGAAATCATTTTCCAAAACCTCAATGCAATAGAGGCCACCAAGAAATGAAAGCAACTATCGGATTTCCTTAGAGGCATAATGAATGCCCTGATCTCCAAAACCCGATTTCTGTGAAGAAAAGGAGCAAGCTATGATGCATCACATACATATTCAAACCTCAAAATCTGCGAGGAAATACTCACCCTTGAACAGTATGCAAACCAGGCTGCTTTTGCCAACCATCAAACGAACCTCCATGATATGAAAGTACAATTTTGAATGTTACCCTTGCCCATCTCCCAGGCTTACCTACATTCGTATCACCCTCCAATAATTCAGTTTCATCAGAAACCTCTACAATTTTATCATCATCGTGAACATCTGTCTGCAAACAAAATTCTCAAGCGTAAATATAATAATAACAAAAATGGCAAGACCACATAGGATAATAATAAATACCACAATTTAAATCCTAAAAATCCAAACTTTTTAAGTTCCATCGTGAAAACTACCTCAGTTTCAAACAAGTGGAACAAAGACAAGTGCCCATTAACAACATTGGAGTAAAAATCAACCACTTCTTGCCAAGGCCTTGCATACATGAATTCAAAGCTCTCCCTAGCACCCCAAATAATCAAAAAACAAGTTCAACCTGATTGAAACTGAAACCCCAGTTCAAAAAATCTATAAAAGATACAAAAAAAGAAGGAATTTAATAATAAAGATTGGTTCTTTCTTGGTTTTACCTGGCAGTCCACCTTGAAAACTTGCAGGAATCAGTGTGGTTATAATGAGCATAGACTTTGTCGTTTTGAGCTTCCATCACAACTGGGTTTCTAGTAAATCTTCGAATCTGCTGTTTGGTAATGATTGGAAGTGATTTCAGCGTCTGAAAGGAAGAATTCTTTAACATGTCTTCATCATTGAACTCTTCCGGTCTGAACTTTGGTAAATTAATCTGCCCTCTGAAGACTAAAACTTGTGTCATTTATTTTCGAGTTCCTGAATTTTAAACTTCAAAGCAGTTAGGAAGTAGTCCTTGTATTTATGTGAAGATTGTTTTAGTCCCTTTTTTTTTATAAACTAAAATTATTTTTTTTATTATACAGTAAAAATATTATTGATTTATGCATCGTCAATTAAGATTATAATCTTTTTTGTTTTTTGATAATCACAGAGATGTACCTTCCATGTTATTTTGATGAATATATTTTTTTAAAATTCTAGTTTTAAAGTTTAAATTTAGAAAATTGAGAGAAATATATATTTTTAATTGCTAGATTAACTTTCAAGACGTATTTTTTAATAAGAATTTTTTGAATGGATAACGGAAATTATCTTTTTACTAGCGTAATCTTATACATGCTATTCATATCCAATCATATTCATATTGATTTTTTTTTAATCATATTCTTATAAAATTCAGTTATCACAAAAAATTAAAATAAAACGTATGATTACTATTCATTCATTGTATTATTTAAAATACTATTTACCTAAATTTATTTGTACTATTCACCTAGACTCAGAAGTACTTTTACTATGCATTAATATTTTTATAGTTTTCAAATATATCTAAAACATTTATTATAAAAGTTTTCATAACATTACATTTTGGTCCCTTTTTTTAAATATTATTTCTTTAGTTTATAAATTTTTTTTGTTTGACTTTATTCCTTCTTTTTTGTTTCAATTTGGCCATTTTAGTCTTTTTCTTTCTTTGATTTTTCAATAAAAACATTTACGGCAAAAAAAATTTTAAAAAAAATTTATAAAATAAGTTTTAATTCATTGATTTTGAGATTTTTTATTGTATTATAAAATTTTTAATTTATGGATAGAGATAAATAAATAATTTTTTAATAAAATTTATGAAAATTTTAAAGAATAATCAGTCAAATATTAATTTTTGATTAAAAAATTATAAAATAAAATAAATTTTTATTTGATATATTTTAGCATATATAAAATATAATACGAAATATTAAACTAAAATAATTTTAAAAGAATAATTTTATATTTTTTTCGATCCGTAACATAGCACGGATAAAAAAACTAATAATCACCGAAAGAAAATCCAATGTAATAACAAACTCTCTTAGTAAATTAGCAAAAATGAATAGAGGAATATCTTCTGATATTTGCTCTGTTGTAAATAAATGATTATGTTTTTATGGAGCTTTAAAATTTCGATTTTAATTTTTTTAAAAAAAAAACTCAAAATAATGGTATTGCTAGTAAATCCACTTTTTATTGAATCTAATTACTAAGATATAAAACTACTCATCATCTCCAAAATTTCGGAATTTAATAAAAAAAAAATTATTTGAGAAAAGCTATTTTTTTATTTTTTCTTACTAGCAACACAAAATTTAAAAGTAAAATATCAAAATGTCCGTCACAAATATATTCATTTATTATTATTATTCACATAAAGTTGAAAGATGATTTACATAGGCATGAAGCCCAAAGAAGTTAGGAACAAAGCCCAAAAGATAACACAAAAACTACATCCCAAACAATCCAATAAGCCCAAGAAAGGACATCAGATTTCAGCCCTAATTACAACAGCAGCCCACTTCTAGCCTGTATCTAAATATTTATTTACACATGAAATTATTATATATCCTTAAAGTTGTACTCCCTCTCTTGCATAAAATCAGAACTCATTATTATTATTATTATTATTATTATTCATGGATTCCATTTTTAGGTAAAAAAGAGAGTAGACCTCTAAGAACACTGAATAATTTGTTTCATTTCCACTCTGCAATCTGTTGAACGAGTGGAAAAAAAAATATATATATATATATATATATATATATAATTATGCCTATTAGAAGGAGTAAATTATAAATCAGTTCCACTATTTTTTAGAAATGAATTATTTTTTAAAAAATAATTTTTTAATTCTTTGGCTAGTGTTAATCACATTTAATTAATTTAGTATTACTCTATTTCAAAAAAAATCCAAATAAATTAAAAAAATAAAAAAATAATCAAGTTACTGGAAAATTTGAAAATATAGAAACTATATGATTAGTTTTTGAAATAAAAAAATTTATTTATTTATTTCTAAAAAATAAGGAGACTAGTTTATAATTTACTCCTCTTAAAGGACTCATATAAATGGCTATTTTCTCTTTTATATATTGATCGATTTAAAAAAAAAAAAAAAGACTCATATAAATATAACCAATATTGTTGATTTTTTTAACATACATTACAAAAGTTTCCAAGCTTTACCACCTTCCATATTGAACTTAAGTCTTCCAAAGAACATGACCACTATGAGTATAATCTTCCCCTCATCACTCCATTTTCCTGAGAATCCATAAAATTTATTCTCACAATTATTATTGGGTTGTATTTGCCTGTCACAACTGTAACCTGTTGTAAACCCTACACTCCCATATGCACTGAAGCCACCAAAAAAAAAAAAAAAAAAAACAAATATGTTAGGCAATTACCACATAGTAATTTATTTCATGAAATGTTAGTAAAAATTGAGGCCAAAATCCAAGAAAAAAAGGCAATAATAATTGTGTACCTGACAACTTCAACCAAAATATTCCATACATTGAAATTGAGAGGATCTTTCTTCAGTTTTTGCCTTTCTGTGATGCATATAAGGATGGTGAAAATAGCCAAATATGATAATGGAGAAAATAGTATGTTCTCCAAAAGCTTTCCCTTTTTATTTCTTTTCTCCTCACATATTTCTTCACCATCTGTTATGGGAAGGAAACAAGTATAAGGTGGAAGATACCTGCAAAAATAAAAAAATAGAGAAAGCTATTTTAATATTCATTTTTCTTGGTATGAGAAAACACCATTTTCTGAAGTTATAAAAAAACTTAATTACTAAATCTATGATAAATTTTCAATCTGTCATTAATTATATCCTTAACTAATTAAGTCAACTTTATTCTTAAATATACATTAAGTTTCTGATTTATTCTTTTGTCAAAATTTTGGCATTATTCATATGATTTTACATAATTAAATTTATTCCCGAACTATCTTTGTAAGTCAGTGATAAAATAAAAAGCTTTCATGTGGAAATTTTTTTACTAGATTCACTAGTTTAATATGAAAGTTTTTTTAGAAGATAGATTAGATACTAAATGTATATTTAAGGATAAAATTGATTCAATTAAGAATATAAGAAAAAATTAAAGTAAAAAAATAAAATAAAAATAACAATCATGGGAGCAATAATTTTTTTTTTTAACTTTTCCATTAAAAAATGATTAATTATATATATATATATATTTGTTGATGTGAGAAGACATAGTGATAGCGGTATATACTTGAAAAATAAAACCACTTCTCCTTCGTTATTGCATGAAACACATGGATTTATGCATTTATTAAAATTAGGTAAGGATGAGAGGAAATACTTACATCATGACCACAAATAGCACCAATAATGCTGAGGAGATAGTTGAGAGGTCCACAATGCTCTCTCCAGCATATCTTGTATTCGTTGTCTGAAATAATACACCTATAATCTTCTGGTAAGAATTTAGTCCACTTAATCCAGCTGAATTCCACTCCATGGAGCAAAACAATATAAACTGAATCATGATAAACCCAAAAACAGTGACAACCAAATATGATGAATGCTGGCTTGGTAACAAGTGAAAATATCCAACGTCGTTTGTTTTCTTCAATAGGTAATTTGATTCTACTTTCTTGAAAAATTTTCCCAAGAACCAAACAGAAAATCTTAAGCAAGAAGGAAATAGTGTGTTTCCGAGAAGAATCTGAGGGATGAGGATTAGTAAGAGACCTGAATTGTTTTTAAACACTGCCATGTTTTCATTTGTTGGAAGAAAACCACAACTTGCAAAAGTCGAAACAACGGTAAAGATAGAAAATGTGAACAAGTTTAGTCTCTTGTTTATCAGTACATTTCTTGCGCTAGAAACAAGGGATATATAGATTGAAACTAGGGCAATTCCTAGAATTTGAACAACTAGAAAATAACCCAAAACCACAAAACACAAAAACTTGATTGATTTGTACTTCAAAAACTCAACACTACTACCATCTAATGAAGTTTCATTTCTTGATTCAAGATTTTCAAAAACTGGGCTTTCTACCATTCCCAACTCCGGTTGGTAAGTGCTAGGCTGATCATTGTTTGTAACAGAAGAAATTTTGTACTTCAATTTTTGAAGTTGAAACTTCTTGAAATGAAGTCCTACCATGGAAGTGAAAATTTTTCCACCAAAGAACATTAAAATGATTAAAACAATGAGTTGGGAATTGGAGAAAACCTCCATTTCAACAGTGGACAGACTTGAAACTGTGACGGCAGACACGGATGTGAAGAACAAATCTAAGTTCCCAGGGATAAAAGAATCATGGGTTCTTGGCTTCAAAACCTTTAGAATAACAAAACCAAACAAGGAAATAGAGAGAAAATAACAAAGCTGAATGCAAAAGGAATTCACACTACGAAGCAGTAAACGGTAGAAACATGACATTAGACACCAAGTTGAGCAACAAAGATGGTGCAAGGCTTTGCTCAAATAGGAATTAGAGAGAAAGCAACAAAGTTGAATAGAAAAAGAATTCACTCTAAGAAGGATTAAACGGCAGAAACATGACATTAGACACCAAGTTGAGCTACAAAGATGGTGCAAGGCTTTGCTAAAAGAGGAAATAATCATCCTTGATTGCTTTGAAAGGAAAATATTGTGCTGATTGCGGCAATGAAGAAAATTGGACGAAAGGTATGACTGTACATATATAGGAATGTTATGGTCCAGAAGACTAGAATTCTTCATGAGGTAGGCGGTGAGTTATTACTTGGCACATGGCCCCAGTTCAAGCCACACATTTCTACTTCCGCGCTGTACCTGTGTGCATGGACGTATTCGTAATAACGGCTATCATCTCTGATCTAAAACTTTGGATTAACGGTCCATTGATTTTTTTTTAATCATTTTTAGGGTATAAAAATCCAGATTTTGTCGGTAGGATACAGCAGATATACATAAAAATTTAAATATAAAATTATTTACTTAAGTGACTAGAATCCCTTTCATTCCATCAAATCTTTTTGGGTCACATATTCTCTTTTTATTTAACATTCCATAAATTACTACAACGTATACACGTAAGGCATATATTCAGATAGTCAGTTTGTTTTTTTCTCCATATGCTTGTCTAAAATTGGAAAGGGATGGACAGGAAGCCACTACTTTATTTTGTATTATTCCCACTAAGATTAGGCTTTGCTTGAAATGGAAGTTATTTCTTAAAGTAAATTGCAAATTAATATTGCAAAAGTGCATACGAGAGAGCAACAAAAGTTTTTTAAATTAAGTAATGATTGGACGTGATCTAATACTAATCTAGTTAATTTAAAAAATAATAAATTTAATTATATATATATATGTATATATATATATATATATGTATGTATGTATTAAGTGAGAGGAGTAAAGTGTCTTTGATTTAATTTTACAAGAGAGTCCCACACGGTGTTAGGTGAGCATAAAAGAAAATATATTCTTTTAATGGAACACAAAGATTGGAATCTAAGAAAATATATTCTTTTAATAGAACACAAAGATTGGAATCTAAGAACTATTGTTGACTAGTTCAGCTCACTTATTCCTTGCATAACATGCTCCTGAGAAATGTAAATTATAAAATTAAATTAGCTGTGAAGGAAGATTGGAGTATTGATACGGAAGGTTATGCATAGTTGCTGTGCAGTGTACGTAATATCAAAACATGCGGTATATTGCAAACCATTATAGTTTTTACTATGGTACTACTTTGGTGATGCACTGGATGATTGAAGTACGAGGAACTCATTAAATAATTAAATAATTAATTTTTGAAATATGAGGAACTCATTAATTTTTTTTTTCAAAATTAAATGGACCAATTTATTATTTACTCTAAGTCTCGGAGTACCAAAGTTGATCCAATAATCCTTAAGTCTTTATCATGTTATGAGACAAATTTTGTAACAAGGGATTGTGATCGTTCTTTTGATTAATGATGGGAGAAATCAGTGGTAGAGTTTTGTTGAGTGACATGTGGTCTAACGCACATGCCAGAACATGCTAGAGTGGAACTGAGGAAGGTACTAACCGATAATTGAAGCATCAATCTCTAAAAATTGCAACTATTCCCTCTTGTGCCAATTCTCATATATATATATATATTAATTTTATTTGTAAAAATATTTTAAATTTTCGTTTCAATATAGATGTGATGGATCTTTTCAAAATATATACGAATATGAAAGATGAGTTTTTTTTTTTTTTGAATAATCAGTCAATCTATAACTAATTTTATGCAGAAAAATAAAATAAAGTATCAAAATAGGAAAAAAAAATAGAGCAATGCAATTATATATTTAATAAAATGTAAGTATAGTTTAGCGCGATATATAATTTAAACAACTAATAATAAACCAGTCATAGAAGAAAACTATGCTTCTAAGATCTTATTAATTTGATAATTTAGTCGGATTTTTATTTTTATGATGCAATAAGGCATAGAATTTACAACAAACTAAATGTGTGCTGTAGGTTTCGTAATAGATTACTTTTTACTAGAAACGACAATAAATAAGATAGTTATCTATGTTGCCACTTAGAATTTGAACTTTGAGATATGTAATATTGATAATTGATTTAAGCTCCTAAAGACAAAATTAGTTTTGATTTATAAACTGATAATAGAATATTAGAAAATAAATAAAATGATATTGTTTTTTTAAAGTCAAGAAAGGTAAGAGGTCTCCAACTACGATGTTGGTAATGTGAACAAATCAAACAAAAATAGCAATAGCTAGGCTAAATGTTCTAAATCTCTCCTGAATTTTAAGTGGTTCGAAAATTGGTTCTTTAGTTTTAAATTTCTCCATTCAATTATTTTTCATTTAAATTAGATTCTTATGTTAAGCTTTCATCGATTTTAATATATAAGTACAATTTCTTAACAATTATGTTAAAACTTATAGATACATACTTTGTTTTGTCCTCTAAATGTTAAGAAATAAGCAACTCAAAAAAAATATATTTTTTCTAGAAGGAAATACAAAGTTTTGAATGGAAAAAAGTAAAACACCCATAAGTTTTGACATATTTTTAACTATTGAAGATGGTAAAAAAATCAACCATGTATAAGTTATTAGCTCTTTCATCATTATAATTGATGAAAACCCGATAAAAAAAATTCAATTTCAAATACAAAATAACTGAAAAAAAGTTCAATCTGAAATTAAAAGTTGATGAACTGATTTTTAAATGACTTAAACCTATTTATAACTTAATTATTTTTATTGATTTTTAATTTATTTTGATTTTTTTGTTATAAGAAATAAAAAAATAAATAATTTTTGCTAAAAAAAAAAAAAACCAACATGCTCCAAACCTCTTCTATATCATTCTTGTTAACAACAGTACTCTTTCCTTTTCATTTCTCTTCAAAATTGACAAAAATTGACCCAGTCCATCCCTTCTTCTCTCTCAACGTGTTTCTCCTTTAAGTTTGATTGTGATGTTGATGATTTTTCATAGTTATCTCTCTCTCTTGTTTGATTGCAATGATGTTGATGATTTTAAAGACACACACATATATATATACCCTTTATGGTATCTCCTCCTCTCTTGTCAAATTGATCTAACCCCCTTTTTTAATTCAAATTTGGTTATGAAGAGAGGCAAATGGGATAGCAAATTGCACAAATTAGACACGTCTGTGTCATTAGGCAGGCAAAGATCCATTCAAATCCTGCTATTTTCTACATCCTCCTTGTCAATCTAGAAATCTCCTTGTTTATACGTGTATACATATATACACATATGCTTATCGGTTAATATTTACAGTTAGAATCGATGAGAACTTAATTAAAAAAATATAATTCTAAAAAAATAACTTTAAATTTTAATCTGAAAATTAAAAGTTGAAAAAGTTAATTTTTAAATAAATTAAAATTCAGAAAATGTTTAAACCGTTTTCGATAAACTAAAAGTGCTGATGAAAGCAAGAATCAATCATGAAGCAGCTGACCTAGGAATAACATTGCCGTACGACAAACATATACATTGAACAAGTTCTCATTCAATTTGTTTTCCTTGTCTTATCCAAAAAATGTCATGTTCTATGGCTGAATTCCAACATTATCCCGTGTGGAAGCAGTGTCCAGTGCTGTAGAAGCCGCAATATTTTATCTCAGTGATTGTGTTTATTTCTCTAAGAATGAAATGTTTTACTTTATTATTAATTTTTTTTTTTTTTTGGTGAAATCATTTCAATCAAATATGGTCGGCCACATAAATTGGCTTCGATTTATATATAGTATATTAGGTTAGCTAATGGAAGCAGATGCATGGTGCATGATTAATTTGCCTTCAACCAAGCAGACCAAAGATTTATTGCCATGTGTTAGTTGCCTTCGATATTTAATACTTCTCTTGCATTCATTTTTAGGCTATTTTCTTTTGATTTTCTCCGATCAATGATGATAATGACTTTGGGAAATGCTCATCTTTTATATTTGAGTAAACTATAAATTAGTCCCGCTAGTTTTTTAAAACGAATTTCATTCTTTTTGAATTTATTTCAATTTTTTATTTTAAGAAAAAAAAGTAAAAAATATGGAAGAATTGATTAAACAAAACATGTTTTGGAAAAACAAATAATCATTAACACCGGCCAAAATACTAATTAATACTATTTAATTTGTCTTGCAAAACCATAAGGATTAATTTCTAATTTTTAGGATAAGTTGTTCTTGACAATAAGGTCATCACATTGTATGTTTAATTTTTAGAGTAGATTGTCTTTGGCAATAAGATCATCACACTCGCATATTTAATTTTTTGGATAGGTCGCTCTTGATAATAAGGTCATCGCATTGCATTTTAATTTTTTGAGTAGCTTGTCCTTGACAACAAAGTCATCGCATTGCATGTTTAATTTTCAAGATAGACTATCTTTGAGAATAAGGCTATCATATTGCATTTTAATTTTCAAGGTAGGGAACCCTTGACAATAAAGACATCCCATCGCATTTCAATTTACTTATCAAGTCATCTATGTTAACCAAATCATTTTCGCCATTCAATTTACTTTTCTTTACAAACTCATTAAACAAATCCAATCTCAAATTCGCACTTCAGCTAGAATTTGTGTCATGGGTGTCGTAAAGAGAGAATAATTGTCATAACCCAAAACATTTTACCATTTTTTGTTGTTTATTGTTTCTAGTTTTAATTTAATTTAATTTTTACTTTACTTTTGAATGTACTACAAAAAAAAATAGAAAAAGGATAAAAAATACAAAAAATATGTGAAAAAAGAAAGAAAGAAATGTTAGAAAAATAAAAAGAAAATGCTAGAAAAAATAAAAAAAGGAGAAAAATATTAGGTAAAAAGAAAAAAATAAAAAATGCTAAGAAATATTAACAAAGTCTCCTATCCAATAAGGATTGTTATTAGCTAAAAAATTCATGTT